GGACTGGAAGAATCTGGTGCATTCAGCGGTCATGGCACGAAGGTCAGAGGTTGTTTGTCCATCCGGGAGTGTAAGCGAGGAGATTAAAGAGTCTTTTATGCGGGAGTTAAGTCCGGCCAGCAGGGAGGAGATTCCCATCTCCCTATGTCCCTCGACTTTGAGCTTTGCTTTTAGAGCAAGCTCAGCGGTTTTAGAGGTCTCGTATCGTGTGAGTTGTTGTCGGGCTTTGAGGAGTTGTGTGGTCTCATCATGGTTCAGAGGGGAGTGGGCGGGTTGGAGTTGGAGACAACTGATGAGTCGTACGAGGTGGTCGGTAGTGCCGGTAACTCGTCTGCGCTCTTCGTTCGAGAACCGTTTGAGGCTAAGGGTAAGGCCTAGTTTCCAGGAGTCCCACGCTTCGGGAGAAGGGCGTGACGGCAGGGAGGGGAGGTGGGAGTCGATTATATTAGCGACTTGGGGTCGGTGGAGGAGAGAGGAGCTGAGACGCCAAGGTCGCGGTGCCATGGCTGGGTTGTCGAATGTGAGGGTGCAGAGGGGGGCGAAGGAGTGGTCAGAAACGTCATCTGGGGTCCAGAGGTAGGAGGTTTCAGAGGTTCGTGGGAGGAATGAACTGGAGAGGTAGATTCGGTCTAATCTAGATGTGGGCGGGAGAGCTGTACCGGCATTAACACGGCGACCAATGAAGGAAACACGGGGTCGACGGATTGGAGTGGAAGATGCACGTCACACAATGCGTGCGATAACAGAAGATTGGACACTATGGTGGCCTCGCTAAGTTCATGGCCAAGCAACGGGCGGTTACGGTCTAAAGGGGAAACTACCGAGTTGAAGTCACCGGCGAGGATCGTAGCTACAGCTGCAGATGGTTGTTCCAATGCAGGAGTTAGGATTGATCTCCACCAGGTCCGACGGTCAGTGGCAGGTCTCGGCGCGTATGTGGCGATGAGGCGCAATTGCTCATGCAGGAAGTTGATGTGTACAGATAGGAGGCGGCCATCGGCGGAGGGGAAAGGGGAGGTGAGAGAAACTGCTCGATTAAAGGACAGGATGGAGATACCACCAGGGTGCGGAACTTGTTTGGCCAATTGAATTCAGAGCGTAAAGGGTTGGAGCGTGAACTGAAGAGTGTGGCCGGAGTTGGTGTGAAAGTCGAGGTAGGTTTTTTGAGAGACGTGTGTCCACTAAAATAAGAATGTCCGCGTGAGGACGAGAGGTGGAAAGCCAACGTTTTAAAGAATTGCATTTAACTGGTGTGTTGATACCATTAATATTCAGGCAGCGAACCCGCAGGGGCGTCAACATTTTTCTAAGTGAACGCCCACCGCGCAGGAGGGTGCGCGGATCCACGGGCTAAGGCACATGTGTGAGTAAGGCACACTTGATATTGGTAGTATAATCGGATTACTTTGCTGCTGCCAGTCAGACATTAGACAGGGTTCCTGTAATTGGCCAGAAACACGTGTCGAAGGAGAGGAAGTGTTGTGTGTAGATGCACTGCTGGTGTGCTTCGCGCGTGGTGTTGATATGTTGCTTAATAAGGAGTTGCGTCTGGAATTTATAATGTTCAACCTACTGAAAGCAGCGGAAGCTGCATAGATTGCTAGCAAGCAGGAGTTGGGAGCCATAGGCTTTAGGGCTGTAACAGACGGGTAGGAAACATCCAGGAGCCCAGAGAGCTCTGAGCAGTCGAGGTTGGGGTGGTGACTCGCAGCCAGCTGGAGCTCAAGGCTGCCCGACAGGTCGGAAGACTGCCTGAAATTCGGGGGGGGGAGGGACCAGGGCGAGCAGCCAGAGAGGGGAGGGCGGACATGCCGGGGAAGGGGGGAAGGAGGGTCGGGGAATAGGAAAGCAGGAAAAAAGACACAAGTTGGGAGGGGCGGAAGGACCAAGATAAGAGGGGAAGACACAGTACCATCAAAGAGAGGGGTAGCATGCCAGAAAGGGAGTGAGATGCTCGTAGGAGGGTGACAAGAGAGGCATCTCAGCGTCCAGGTGAGGGGGGAGGGCAAAGGCGAAAAACGAATGAGCGGGAGGGGGGATAGGTGAGGGGGTGTAGCGACAGGGGGGTGAGCAGTGAGGGGGGAACTCTGGAGGCGCGGGGGAGCGCCAGCACCGGCTGTAACGCAGCAGGGCGGTCTAGTCGCGGGGCAGCGAGATACAGCAGCCTGCAGGGGCAGGGCACGGTTTCTGAGACGAGCGCAGTGCGGCTGTTTAACAGCCGTCGGCTCGTCAGACGGGGGAGAATGTGGGATAAAAAGCGGGTGTAAGAAGTCCGAGACAAGGCGCAGGCCAGTCGGGGCGGACGAGGAAGACGGAACGAGAGCGGGGACGAGGGGGAAGGTCGCAATGTCAAGATAGGATGCAACAGTAAAGGGACGAGCATGGTGAGAGAGTTGAGAGAGCACGCGACCAGCAGCTAGGCGAAACATAACGGGAGCCGGGAGGCTGGGGTGAACGGGTGGTACGGTGAGAGTGTGGGCGCACGGGCCAAGGCGGCCATCGCAATCTGGAGAGAGTGACTGGAAGCTTAGGGAGCTTCCCGAGTCAGTAGGCCAAGCGAAAGCAATGGCACGTCGGGGTGACGGGGGCCCGGGTGGCCAGGGGGGAAAGGTAGCAGGAAGACCAGGCAAAGGCCAAGCACAAGCGGTGTTAGGAGGTGTGTCGTGAACGCGAAGGCGTGGGCCACAGCGGTTCACAGAAATGGAAAGGGTGCCTAGTCGGCGACCCAATTCCGGAGTAAGCTGGGAGCCTAGGCGGCAGCCCGAGCTTGGGATAGACTTGGCGCCTAGTCGGCAGCCAGAGTCCGAAAACCATGCACATCGGCAGAGATAGCGAGGCAGGATGGGGAGCAACAGAGCAAAGGAGATAGCATCGTTGCGGAAAAACCGGGATAGCAAGGAACCGCGTGGCTTAGTAAAGCGGTAGAATGAAAATCGATTGAGGGAGGCAGGAGTGTACGGTACGGTGGCACTTACCTGACTGGAAGAGTGGGAGAGGAAGCGCAGGCGTGTTTGAGGTTGCCGTCGATGCCAAGATCCTGACGGCGGTGGCGTATCCGTCGGCGTGGGGTTGGGAGCCGTCGGTTTCAGGCGTTGTTGGGGAGGTATGACGCGGCACAGCCGAAGTAGCGCACGTTGTTGACGTCGCGAGAGTGGAGCGCCAGGAAGGGCAGGGGCGAGCGTCGACCAGGACGGAGAGGAAGGATAGCAGGGGCTAGAGCAGCGAGCGGAAAGAGATAGTGTTAGGCGCGAGAAAAGGAAGGAGACGGGGTTTGCGTGGGGGGGTACAGGTCGGGTCGTGCATGACAATACGCGGTTGTAAAGACCAGCGAATAGGCGGGGCAATGAAGCGGTCGACGGTAAGTAACCACCTACCTTAGGAGAGCTAGGAGCGAGTCCCCGGCATGACCAAACAAAGTTAGAAACCAGGAAAGAGACGAAGAAAAGAGCAAACTTAGATCGAATTACTGTCGAGGAGGGGGAACCAGCCAAATCGGCTACGGGTTTGACAGTAGCTTAATCTGGACGTTCGGAAAGCTAAAGCTTTAGGTTCCTGAGTTTCCGCCATTTGCGCTGGGGTTCATGCTAGGGCTTTCCAAGGAGAGTTGGTGGGTACGAGGGATGGGTGTTGGTCTGAAAACGATCGACAGCCGGGGGTAACCCAAAGGGGGATTTCCCCCCTCCTTTACCTTTACCTTTACCTTTACCTTTACCTTTACCTGACCTGACCCCTGCTGCTCCCTTTTTTCTGGTGGGAGAAGACTGGTGAGGCCTGAACCAGACAACACCTTGAAAGGCGCTTGAGAGCAGGTGTACAATATTCCCTCTACCACCAACCTAACTACATTTTACCTCCTACAATTTACTTGGATTGGAACTCAGCTCCATGTCCTCTTTTCAGTTCCAGTTCTATAATATCCCTCGTTAGTGGCGTGCTAATACAGTTCTGGCTCCGATAGGCTTGCGTCAAACCCGGGTTGGGTTGACGGCGTCGCGGCTCGCAGCCAGTGTTCCTGCTTACTGCCGAGCGCAATGGACAGATTATTACTGCATATGGCAGCAGCTAAGCAGGTCCTTCCATCTAGGTGGTAGATTCCGCGGTGTACAAACGCGTGTCTTGTCACAGTGCCTGCCTGACTGAGCCGTACGTGGTATCAGTGGAACCTGTCTGGAGCTAACTTCAATCCGTGGTATCAGTGGCTTGTACTTCGATTCGCGGTCAGCTGTGTGCTGACGACTAATCCATCCGTGATTCCGTGCCGTTGTAGTTGACCTCTTAGAGTATTCTTAGAATTCGTTAGCCACAACATTAATCAATGCGTCAGCCGAGATTGCTGCAATGTGACGTCTAAAACTCGTGGAATGACCAGCGTATAACTATGGCTCCAAAGTGCCATTATAACCGATTAGAGGATCAACGGATACCTCCGTATCATTAGTGCCGGGCTTTCGACTCGACTCCAGGCACCACTAGCCACGGCGATCCCTTGATTCTAAACCATCTGTTTACTAAACGCTGAGAAGTTAGAACAACCTCCTGTAGTTGGTGAAGCTGCGGTGGAGAAGGGACGGCCTTCGTTCCGGCGAAGGAATCACAATTTTGTACTAGGACTTTCTGTAGTGGAGCATCATGGTCGGCCATTCAGCACCCGGGGGAATCCTAAGATTCCTAAGATTTGGGCGATCGGGGTCGCTCAAGGCGTTGTCAGCGGCTTCGAGCAGCAAGCATCCGCCAAGGTAGTAGACCGTATCCCACTGTGCTCTAAAAATCCCCCACCATTTTCGTTTCCCAAAATCTTGCTAAATTTGCGGGTCAGCAAGATCGCATCTTACTTCATATTGCGCGTTCATATTTTGTGGAGCTTATCCATTAACGTGACAATGATAATTCATCCGCTTTACTGGTTCGGACCTATATCCTTATCTCCAACATTCACTTTTGAATGACACTGTTTCCAACTTCCGTTCCGCAGAGAAGCCCTCAGCCTGCGGGTTCTGTTCATGAGGTTGATATACGCGTTAGTGGTGGTCGTCGTCGCGATGTGCGGCAGCGTTTCGTTTGAAGAGGTGGCTCGGAGAATAGCAAACTCGCAGACCAACAACGTCCCAAAACGAGCTCAAGTCCTCATCAACCTCCTCGGGACAGGCCAATTAGGTGAGCGTGCAACAGAATGTCAACAAACGAGCCCTTGACTTGACTTGGGTTAGCAGCCTCTCATCAGCCTTCATCAGACTCAAAAGTCATCAATCTGGATGGCATGAAGTTGAGTCAGAGGCGGCCAGTCCACCAAGCTCACCTGGCTGGTTGGTTATTGAGTCCTTTTTCCACATAATCAAGAACCATTGGACGGCACATCAAGCGGAGGCGGAGGAGGTGAGTACAGCTAGCACGCACGTCTGACTTGGCCTGTCCGGACCTAGGCAAACGTGAGAGGATGGACGCATCGGCTACCTTTTTTCTTCTTTCTTTTCGTACTTCCAGAGCCCGTGGCAGTCAGCTCGGTTTTTTTCCCCATGACAAAAAATTGGGCCACGCTATGATTGGGCGCACAGGCAGCCACAGGGTTGAGGAGGGGTTTGGGGGGGAGCTGGGTGATAGGGCAAGGGGAACGGAAAGTATGCCTGAGTATATGGCATGGTTTGTATTGTGTGGTGTGGTGTGGTGAGACGTGTTAATGAATATGATTATGTGGTATGTCCTGTGTTACGGGTTTCAGCCGTTTGCTATCTGGCTGGAGTGCCACTCCCTACAAAGGTCGGTGTTTTCTCTCATACCTTTCCCACACGAGGCATCCAAGAGACTTGAATGGACAAGAAAGGGAGGTCTGTGGCACAATTGAGGGTCGAATCCTGTAAGTAGGTAGGTAGGCATAGTGGCCGTGTCACGGCCGTTCCCCTTCTCTTATCTTTCTCCCGTCTCCTCCTATAGGCTCGCTCTTTCCATTTTTATTTCCAAATCGTGCACCATCATTTAATGGAACATTGATGCTTATTGCCTGGCATGACATGGCCTGGTATGTCTATGTGGTATGGTGCATGCATGTTGCCTGCATGAGGGGAAAGGGAGGGGGATGGGCTGGGAGGGGATGGGAAGGATTTGGGAGGGATGGGGTGGGAGGAGTGGGTGGGGAGAGATGGGTTGGGAAGGGGTGTTGAGTGGTGGGATGGTTTGGTGGAAATGGGGGGGCGTATGGGTGGTGGTGTGCAGGGCGGCCGCTGTTTTTCCGCGAATCCAAACGGGACGAGATTCGCCGGACGTTTCACGAGCCCGTGCCGCCCAAGCCAAGGACGGTGCAGGGCGTAGTAGAGGGGTTGGTGTGGTCTGCAGCGAGTGGTATTTCTTCCCTCTGGAAACGACGCACTCCTGATAAAAAGTGCCTCATTCTCGCTGCTCCAGGTACTCCCATCATTGCAAAACTTCTGCATCTCTAGCAGTAGCAGCTGGTGTCCTGAACATCAACATCAACATCATCACCAGATGCAGAATCTTATCTGCGAAGCTATTCTTGAATGCCAAGTTACAAGAATGCTCCTCTCCCGTTTCCACTGCTATCCACCACCCGTGCAGACACGCAGCTGCCGATGCAGCAGCAGCAGCAACAGCAGCAGCTGGTGTCGTCATCAGCGGACGTGCTCAAGGAGTGGCGGGCGGAGGAGGTGCAGGAGGCCATCCCCATCGTCTTCGTGACCAGCCACGTGCCCAACGAGCCTCACCACCCCGCCCTGGTGGTCATTGAACAGGCGCGGAGTCTGAACGATTTGGTGTACGTGGTGGGGCCGAATCCCAACCTCAAGCATCTGGCGGCGCTGGGGGTGACCATTGAGGGGCGCAACGAGTACAACGACACGTGCGCGTGGCTTGCTGTGAGTTGATTCGAAGGCTGGGTGTAAATGGTTCATGCAGGCGCGGAGTCTGAACGACCTGGTGTACGTGGTGGGGCCGAATCCCAACCTCAAGCACCTGGCAGCGCTGGGGGTGACCATAGAGGGGCGCAACGAGTACAACGACACGTGCGCGTGGCTTGCTGTGAGTTGATTCAAAGGCTCGATGTGAATGGTCATTGAACAGGCGCGGAGTCTGAAGTTCTGAACGACCTGGTGTACGTGGTGGGACCCAACCCCAACCTCAAGCACCTGGCAGCGCTGGGAGTGACCATTGAGGGGCGCAACGAGTACAACGACACGTGCGCCTGGCTGGCTGTGAGTCGATGGCTGGGATGTGAATTGCTGGCTTTCTAGGGGAGAATGATTGGGGTCTCTACTACTGCAGAGTACTTATGGAGTGACCATTGAGGGGCGCAACGAGTACAACGACACGTGCGCGTGGCTCGCTGTGAGGCGATGGCTTTGTAAGGGATGAATGGGACTCATGGGGAGGGTGACTCATGGGGAGGCTGACTCATGGGGAGGGTGATTCATGGGGAGAGTGACTCATGGGGAGGGTGACTCAATGGGAGAGAGCCTCATGGGAAGGGTGATCCCTCGCTCGCACCCAACACCCCCCTACTCCTTCCCACCTCAAACTAAGCGCCCCCACTCCCTCCTCCCCTCCCCCCTTCTCTTCTCATTCCACGCACACCAGCGCAAGATGGGGGTGACGCGCATAGAGGTGGCGAGGCCATGGATCCTCGCAGCCTTCATGGAGCGCCACAACCCTCCTTTCATCCACCACCCCCCTCCCAACCCCCACAAGCCCTCCCCACCCTTCTCCTTCCCCATCTCAACAGCGCAAGATGGGGGTGACGCGCATAGAGGTGGCGCGCCCATGGATCCTCGCAGCCTTCATGGAACGCCACAACTCTCCACCATCCACCCACCCCCATTTCCCTCCTTGCCTCCGTCCCATCTCTCCCTTTCCCCCACACCAGCGCAATATGGGGGTGACACGAATAGAGGTGGCGCGTCCATGGATCCTCGCGGCCTTCATGGAGCGACACAACTTCTCCCGAGTGCTCTCGCTCTCCATTGACGTCATGCTCTACGCCAACGTCTCCCAGGTGTGTGAGGCGGATACTCTGTGCGGGTCTGTGGGTTGAGGCTCTATGCCAACGTTTCACGGGTATGCTAAAAGGTTGCTGTGTGCAGCTGAGAACCTTTGCTTCATGGAGCGACACAACTTTTCCCGAGTGCTCTCGCTCTCCATCGACGTCATGCTCTATGCCAACGTCTCCCAGGTATGCTTTGTGTAGCTGTGAAGGTTGAGGCTTTATGCCAACATGTCGTAAGTGTGTTCTGCCAGTGTGCCACAGGAGCGCTCAAACGTCGCCTTGTTAGGCGCCTAGAACAATCGCTCCACCATGGATGGAGCGCCACAACTTCTCCCAAGTGCCCTCCCTCTCCATACTCCAACGACGTTATGCTCTACGCCAACGTCTCCCAGGCGTGCACTTTGTGAAGATGTGAACGTGTCTCAGTTATGCTCTGTGTTTGTGGCCATGCCATGTCATGTCATGCATCGTCTCAACTGCCTTGCTGCATGCAAGTAGCATGCCTCTCACGCACCTCCTCCACTGTGTCTCTCACCTCCCTCTCTGATGGTGGCTTGGATGGATATACCCATCATCCACAGCAGTGCTACCTCTGAACATCTTTTCTATTTCCTCTGTGTTTCCTCATTACCCTCTCAGATGGTGGCATGGATGTACCCATCATCCAAGGTGGTGCTGCCAGTGTGTTAACAGCGGGGGAAGGTGGTGCTACATCTAACCACCTTCTCCATGTTCTCTGTTCCCTCACCTCCCTCACCTCCCTCACCTCCCTCACCTCCCTCACCTCCCTCACCTCCCTCACCTCCCTCACCTCCCTCACCTCCCTCACCTCCTACATCACCCTCGCAGATGGTGGCATGGATGTACCCATCATCCAAGATGGTGCTGCCCGTGCGATGGCTGCAGGGCAATGTGCAAGGTGGCATCGTGTCTCTGTTTCCTCTGTATTCCGCTCCCTCACCGCCCTCTCAGATGGTGGCATGGATGTATCCATCATCCAAGATGGTGCTGCCAGTGCGTTAACAGCAGGGCAAGGCTACGTTTAAGCTCACATTCTCTGTTTCCTCTGTCCTCGCAGATGGTGGCATGGATGTACCCATCATCCAAGATGGTGCTGCCAGTGCGGTGGCGGCAAGGCAAGGTGGTGCTGCATGGATGTAACCACCATCTCTGTTTCCTCTGTCCCTCTCACCTCCCTCTCAGATGGTGGCATGGATGTACCCATCATCGAAGGTGGTGCTGCCCGTGCGATGGCGGCAGGGCAGTGTGCAAGGTGGCAAGGTGGCTCTGTTTCCTCTGTATTCCGCTCCCTCACCTCCCTCACCTCCCTCTCAGATGGTGGCATGGATGTACCCATCATCGAAGGTGGTGCTGCCCGTGCGATGGCGGCAGGGCAGTGTGCAAGGTGGCAAGGTGGCTCTGTTTCCTCTGTATTCCGCTCCCTCACCTCCCTCACCTCCCTCTCAGATGGTGGCATGGATGTACCCATCATCGAAGGTGGTGCTGCCCGTGCGATGGCGGCAGGGCAGTGTGCAAGGTGGCAAGGTGGCTCTGTTTCCTCTGTATTCCGCTCCCTCACCTCCCTCACCTCCCTCTCAGATGGTGGCATGGATGTACCCATCATCGAAGGTGGTGCTGCCCGTGCGATGGCGGCAGGGCAGTGTGCAAGGTGGCAAGGTGGCTCTGTTTCCTCTGTATTCCGCTCCCTCACCTCCCTCACCTCCCTCTCAGATGGTGGCATGGATGTACCCATCATCCAAGATGGTGCTGCCAGTGCGGTGGCCCTCCATGCAACCGCCTCCTCTCCCCTCACAGTACACTTCAACCGCAGTCTCGAACCATGCAGGTATGCTGTTGGAAAATGTTGGTCAAATTATTACTAGCATGGAACAGTTTCCCCTCGACCTCCTCCCGCCATCATCATTCCTACTATTAGCCCATTCTTTAGTCCACTCAAAGGTCACCATCATTTCCACTATCAGCCCTGTGGCACATCGACACTCTCAAATACCACCCTTCCTCTCCACCCCTCTTCCCATCCCACCACCCTCTAACCCCGCACCCTCTGTCCTTCTATCAGCCCTGTGGCACATCGATGCTCTCAAGGACTTCCTGGCGCTCTACAAGCAGATCTGATGCGCGTTCTCAACCACATCTCCCCACCTCTCTCCTTTCCACCACTCGTCCACCCCCTTTCCACCAGCCCTGCGGCACATCGGCGCTCTGAAGGACTTCCTGGCGCTCTACAAGCAGATCTGGTTGGCGTGCACCCCGGCTATCCCACCCCATTCCCCCTCCTCTCCCCCCCACCCTCTGTCGTACTACCAGCCCTGTGGCACATCGATGCTTTGAAGGACTTCTTAGTCTTATACAAGCAGATCTGGTCCATGGTGCTGTTCGGGGGCTGTCTTGACCATTTCTCTCAACCAGATTCCCCCCTGCCTCACCCTTAACCCCTCTCCGTGGACCCACCTCTGCCCCACTCTCAGCCCTGTGGCACATCGACGCCCTGAAGGACTTCCTGGCGCTCTACAAGCAGATCTGGTCCATGGCGCTGTTCGGGGGGCGTCCAGGTTCGGCGCACCTGATGCGCAAGAAGGAGTACAGCGAGATGACCATGTTGGGGTGGTACACGTGGAGCGAGTGCTGGACCAATGATAAGCTCGACCCGCCCTGCATGGCCGAGCCTGTTACTGGCGTCAGGTAAGGGTCAGGTGTTTCATCAGGTGGGAGATCAGGCAGATGGCAAAGGGGGAGACAAGGGAGCGAGAGGGAATTCGTGAACGGACGGCCCAAAGGCAACTTCGGGCTGTCATGCATCGCATGGGTGGTGCACGTGTGGGTGAGTGCATGGGTGGGTGGGTGGGTGGGCATGAGATCTGATGCGCAAGGAGTACAGCGAGATGACCATGCTGGGGTGGTACACGTGGAGCGAGTGCTGGACCAACGACAAGCTCGACCCGCCCTGCATGGCCGAGCCCGTTACTGGCGTCAGGTGAGGCGTCAGGTTAGGTGCATGGGAGGTGGTGCACGTGTGGGTGGGTGGGTGGGTGGGTGGGTGGGTGGGTGGTTGGTTGGTTGGTTGGCTGGTGGGCATGTGCCCCGCCTGATGCGCAAGAAGGAGTACAGCGAGATGACCATGCTGGGGTGGTACACGTGGAGTGAGTGCTGGACCAACGACAAGCTTGACCCGCCCTGCATGGCTGAACCCGTCACTGGTGTCAGGTGAGGCGTCAAGGGCTGCCGTGTACTGCATGGGTGGTGCACGTGTGGGTGAGTGGGTTGGTTGGTGGGCGGTGGCATGGCATGTGGTCTGATGCGCAAGAAGGAGTACAGCGAGATGACCATGCTGGGGTGGTACACGTGGAGCGAGTGCTGGACCAACGACAAGCTTGATCCCCCCTGCATGGCCGAGCCCGTCACTGGCGTCAGGTGAGGGTCAGGTGTTTCATCAGGTGGGAGATCAGGTGAGGCATCAGATGGCAAAGGGGGAGACAAGGGAGCGAGTGGGAATTCGTGAACGGACGGCCCAAAGGCAACCTCGGGCTGTCATGCATCGCATGGGTGGTGCACGTGTGGGTGAGTGCATGGGTGGGTGGGTGGGTGGGTGGTGGCATGTGAGGTGATGCGCAAGAAGGAGTACAGCGAGATGACCATGCTGGGGTGGTACACGTGGAGCGAGTGCTGGACCAACGACAAGCTCGACCCGCCCTGCATGGCCGAGCCCGTCACTGGCGTCAGGTGAGGCGTCAGGTGGGATTTCAGGTGAGGCGTCAGGCGAGATTTCAGGTGAGGCGTCAGGTGAGGCGTCAGGTGGGATTTCAGGTGAGGCGTCAGGCGAGATTTCAGGTGAGGCGTCAGGTGAGGCGTCAGGTGGGATTTCAGGTGAGGCGTCAGGCGAGATTTCAGGTGAGGCGTCAGGTGAGGCGTCAGGTGAGGCGTCAGGTGCAGCCCCAAACCAAACTCGGCCTGCCCCACACGACTGAATCTGTCACTGGTTTCCGGTGCACGCCTAAGTGAGGAGCAGGCCAGCGGTGCAGTTCTAAGTGACCGTTTACAGAATGATATTTTAGGCGCCTCAAAACTTGCCTGTCCGGTGCAGTTCTAAGTGACCGGGGTTTACGGAATGCAATGCAACAGAACCCTTCTCTGGAACGGTGAGTTAAGTTGGAGGCCAGGTGGAGAATTAGGCTGCACTCACCTCTCTCCCCTCAGCTCTCAGCGTTCCACTCCCCCAACCCCACCCCAAGCAGTGCCAAGCTGGCCTACCGCCTGAGGCGCACGCGCTTCCGCCCTAGGTTCCCCGTGCCGTCGCTGTGCCTCCTGCCCCCTGTCTCTCGTCCAACTATTCCCCATCACCCCAACCCCACCCCAACCAGTGCCAAGCTGGCCTACCGCCTAAGGCGCACGCGCTTCCGCCCCAAATTTCTTGTAGAATCTCTGTGTCAGCCGCGGGCGTGCCACAACTCCTCGTGGTCAGACGAGGGGCTGTGCGTGTGGGACAACAACTTCTCCGTCGCCACGCCCTCGCACTTCTTCCGCTTTGCGCCCACGCGCGGCGACAAGTGCCCCAGCAGCAAGCTGTATGAGCACTTCCATGCGTGGATGGGGCAGGTGCCCCGCAAGAACGTGCAGTTTCTGGCTGTGAACTTCCAGGTGAGAAGTTGGGATGGTGATGGCTAGGCGGCGGATGGATGTGGGGGGATATGGGTGGATATGGGTGGATATGGGTGGATATGGGTGCATGCGAGAGTGAGAGCAAGGCAAGTGCCCCAGCAGCAAGCTGTATGAGCACTTCCATGCGTGGATGGGGCAGGTGCCCAGGAAAAACGTTCAGTTTCTGGCTGTGAACTTCCAGGTGCGAGGGGGTTTGGGATTGGGGAGGTGAGGGTACATGGGGGGGGGGGGTGTTGGTCGCTCAATGGGTGGACATTGCGGATACGTACGGGGCTGTGACCTCTGTGTGTGGGACAACAACTTCTCCGTCGCCACGCCCTCGCACTTCTTCCGCTTTGCGCCCACGCGCGGCGACAAGTGCCCCAGCAGCAAGCTGTATGAGCACTTCCACGCGTGGATGGGGCAGGTTCCCCGGAAGAACGTTCAATTTCTGGCTGTCAACTTCCAGGCGAGTCATCCTGGGGTGGTTGGGGGATGGAGGTGGCTTGGTGGGTGCATATGGGTGGATATGGGTGGATATGGGTGGATATGGGTGGATATGGGTGGATATGGGTGCATGCGAGAGCAAGGCAAGTGCCCCAACAGCAGGCTGTATTAGCACTTGCACGCATGGATGGGGCAGGTTCCCCGGAAGAACGTTCAATTTCTGGCTGTCAACTTCCAGGCGAGTCATCCTGGGGTGGTTGGGGGATGGAGGTGGCTTGGTGGGTGCATATGGGTGGATATGGGTGGATATGGGTGGATATGGGTGCATGCGAGAGCAAGGCAAGTGCCCCAACAGCAGGCTGTATTAGCACTTGCACGCATGGATGGGGCAGGTTCCCCGGAAGAATGTTCAGTTCCTAACTGTCAATGTCCAGGTGAATGGGAGGGGGGGATGGGGTTGGGTACATGGAGAATGGGTGATGGGGATGGGTAGAGGGTGGATGGGATGGATGGCTGGTGTTGGGTGGGGATGGGTATATCGGAGGTGGGGGATGGGGAAGGGGGATGGTTTCTGTATGCAGCACCATATGTAACCGGCACGTGACCTTCCCTTGTAACGCCTCCCTGCAACCCTTCCCCCGTCTTGCATGTGCAGGGCAGTCGAAGGGATTACTTGAAGCTGGAAGATCCGGACCCTACGAAAACATGGGGCAGCGCCGTCTTTTGATGCTCGCATGTCACATCATGTACCTCTTTTCAGGCGACCCAGAACGCACCTTTTACTCATGTGCGCACACCATTTGTATTGATGGTGTCGGGATGGGAAAAAATCGCATAATGAGATGTAGTCTATCGAAACAGTCAGTGATTTACGGTATATCCTGTCTGGATGATGGAGCACCTTTAAAGCCAGGGTCTCATGTACGGGTTGGCCGTGCAACTGCAAAACACTTGGGCAAAAAGTGGGTTCTTTTGCGAGTCTCGATTGGACTAAGAGCGTGTTCCTACGGCCTCATATCAGGCAACCTCGTATCAGATTCGCGTCGAACCGCACTAAAACGCATCCAACCGCAGTCGAACACACTGAAGCGTATTTAACCACGCGAAGCTGATACGAGGTGTGTCTGATACGAGGTGTAGGAACACGCTCTAAACTTTGGCCCAAATTTGTACACCAATCAGACAGGCGCTTTTTCCATCGACTGCAAAGCACTTGGTCTACTTGAGATCCTGGCTTTAACTGTACACTCTACACCCACATCAAGGCAAGCCTATCAGCTGTGGTGCGGATCTTGCCTGCTTGACCAGACTGTCCCTCTCTCTCTCCTATGCATTCAGCTGTTGCTCATGCACACTGTTTCTATTTGTTTCAAGCTTCCAAGGCTTCTGCGAAAGAGAATGGTGAGGTGATTGTGTTGCCAAGTTAAATGGGCTGTTCCATTACACAGGCGTCAGTACGATTCATGCTCAGCAACAATGCATGCACGCATACATCTTATCTTCATAATCTGGAAATGGCAGCAAGCATGTTGACTGCCCTATATCGAACCTCTGTGGGCACATTTGAATAATCATTGAATCTTACTGCCTGCAATCTCAAACCCATCACCTGAAGGCCTAAAGACCCCTTACTCCCTATTCACATGACATGGCCACCCATCCTCCTATAAAAGGGGAGCACATGTGCTACTTGTAATCTCAGTGCCCAGTCCCCACCTTATAAAATCTTGACATGTGGCAGTACCGTATGTACAGAGCGTGGCCTCCTGCCTCTTTGCCTTGCTGCCAGTAACCCTGCCTCTGCCCCTGCCATGTACAGCCTCAGAAAACCAGGCCTCTATCCTTTAGCTAACATTTTTCCCCCTCTTCTTCTTCTCTCGCCCGCCTCCCCTCTCCTCCTCCGCTATCAACCTGGTAACAGTTACATTTGACTCAAAAAACAATTTCTGACACGGTTCCCAGCCTGTTTCACCAAGTATCAACTCCTAAGCTTTCCTCCTCTTCTGTCGTCACCCTCCTCCTCTCCTCTCATCTCCCCTCCTCTCCCTTTCCTTTATCTCCACCCTTCGCCCCTTCTCGCGCCTCTTGCTTCCTGATATCCTTCAACGGGTCTTCCCCTTTGATATACCACCCCAGTCCGTACAAGCACACCCCCGCTACAATCACTCCTCCCCACGCGTTCGCGTACTGTACACTGTACATCCGAAGCGCGTACTTCCACTGCTCGCGCAACGACGCCACGTCCGCAGCCGATGGGGGAGGGATGGACGGGGAAGCGGAACGGCCATGGCGGAAAGAGAAGAGAGGTTGGGCGCGCGGAGGGGCTGCGGAAGCGGAAGCAGAAGAAGAGGGGGCGGAGTTCTGGTTTGCATTCTGAAGACTGCCCGATTTTGGATTTTTTAGATGAGGAGAGCTTTCTGGCGACTTGGAATCGCGGGAGGATGACGCATCGGAAGAGGCACGGTCCGCGCTCGACATGGCCGGTGAATAGGGGTTGAAATAGAGTCAAATACTGAGGTCTTGAAAAGAATGCTGTTTCCACTACTGATGCATAAAGTGCGCCGGCTAATGCGGCAGCTGGTGTGGTATCGTCATCAGAATCTGTGTTCCAACTGCAAATGGAGGTGGAAACAAACCCACATTCAAGCATCCTCGTAATAAGCGCGGTTGTAAAAAATACACAAAATTGTTCTGAAAGGAATGTATTATACAGTGTAATGTCCAATGTACTGGACTCAACCTCAGTCCCGCCAATATTTTACGGGCCAGTTAGGTTCTGCCATGCGGCTTTCCAACCTACACGCTTCAAGTTGAGCTTCGCCATTTGCCGGATCCCGATTCGCAAACAACAACATGGATCTCCTGAACGCGTGGCATTCGGGCTTTCCAACACAGCCAGATGCGTGTTTCCAACACCAATGGTGCATTTGCAAAGGCAAAATCGCCGAATTCGTTGAGATGCATGTTTACGCCCACATTCTGAATCTCTTAGCTCATTCCGATAGGCACTGTACACATAGAAGTGCGCACACAGCGGCGCGAGGAAGCAAGCGGATATTCACGAATTATTGACGAAATCTCATTTTCGTCCCTCCTGCAACCCTCGTATTGCGGCTTCGCGAAATTTGATTTCGCACAGCGTGCTTTGGAGTGCTGAGAATGGGAATCTCGTTACATCGCAACGAAAGGTCACTCACATAGCACTCGTTCCCGCTCTCCTCACTTCCCCAACCAAGCGACACCTCACTTCTCTCCTTCCACCCAGGTGTGCGGTGCTGTACAGTTGCAAGAAGTCAGGGGAAGAGAGGGAAGTGAATCTGCTATGTTGGTTGGTGTACCTGGCCAGTCATCCGGAATTCGCCGTGGTGTCAGCCACTCATCGTCGTATCGTAAGCCTGCGGCTGCCCCCGCGGAACGGTGCTCAGTGGCTGCCAGCCTCGCATTCCTCTCATTCCAACTATTTACTGCAACTATCTTCTCATTCTTTCATCAGTCCTCAATACTAGTTCTGCATTCAGCCAGCCTGCTCTCGCACTCTGTAGTCTTCAACGACAATTTTCAAAGTCCCCCAACGTTATACTCGATTCGTTCGGACAAATTCGGCTGGTGGTCACATTCGCCGCTCCTACTTGAAATTCTGCACCGCTTGTGCGAAGCCCGCGACAAATCCGTTCGCATTCCCTCTTGAATTTGCGCAACCCAGCAGTGTTTCTCCGCCGGTCAGCCATGGACGCTCTTCGCCTTGCTTCCGTCGCCGACTGCTCGTTCCAGTCCTCCTTCCTCGCGCCTTCCTCCCAGGCCCTAAAATCTCGTACGGGGGCTTCCACTGTCGCCGTCTCGCGCGGCGCCGCGCGTCCGTCGCCTACAGTCGCCTCTCAGTTCAACGACTCGCAGAAGCGTCGCTACGTCTCCCCGACCCGCCGCCCCGCTTCCGGCGCCGCCGCAGCCGCGCCGTCGTCTGGCGCGCTCTATCCTACGCTCATTGGCCCCGCCAGCTACGACACCGACGATGAGGGCGCCGCCGCCGGGACGCCGACTTGCCCGTTTGAGGCGGACGCCGCCAGCCGCGTGATCACGGTGGACGCGTGGGAGGAGTTCGATTCGCTCCTGGCGGCGGCGTCCGCGCGAGGCCAGCTGGTCGTGGTGGAAACCACCTTGTCTTCCCTCCCCAACACCGCCAAGAACTACCCCAAGCTGCACCAAGTCGCACGCGTCGCACCCGGTCGCACGCTGTTCCTGCGACTCATGGCCGATCGCAGTGACGTCCTGCGCGACCTGGCGAAGTCGCTGGGCGTGAAGCAGATTCCGTCGTACTCGATTTTCAGAGACGGGCAGATGGTGCACGAGGAGCCGGGGATGGACGTGGATCGGCTGCTGCTGCAGCTGCAGTATTACAGCAGCAGCGGGAGCAACCTCGGGATGAACGCGTCGGATAGATCCGAAGGCGGTAGCGTGTACAGCGGAAGCACGGACACGGAGCAGGACGGGTTGGTGCTGGAAATAAACGGTCGCGAGGATTTCTATGAGCTGCTGCGCCGGCACGAGAATGACGATCGGCTCGTGGTGCTGAAGGCGACGCTGACTTTCTGTGGTCCGTGCGTGCGAATTCATCCGACGGTTGTGAAGCTTGCGCAGCGGATGCCGGACACGGCGGTATTTGCTCGCGTCTTTGGTGACAATAACGAGTCGACTGTCACGCTCATGAGGGAGATGAATATTGTCGAGGCGCCTACGTTTTTGTTCTACAGGAGGGGGGAGCTGCTGGGGCGTTATGTGGGTTCTAGCAGGGGGTCTTTGGTGGGCGAGGTGCTCAAGCATCAGGGAATTCAAGTTAGCTAAATGATTTTAATATTGTTCGCGCTCACCAAGCGCCTCATTATTCCTTGTATACATGCTGCCTATTGTACAGGCCATTGTGTGCTTTGTTTGCTTTGTATGTGATAATTAATGTTTGCATTGTGCATTTCCGTTATTAATAAGTTAAGCATATCCATTTGCGTCAGCGCTGTCTCAGCCAACCCCATCCCTTCAAACAGTTTGGAGCCAGCCAATCAAACGCACCTCCCTCTGTTGCCAAATCTGCTTCCATCATGGATGAAACTCAAACCACCACTGGAAAACGCCACTGCACTGTGGTGTGAAGCTCAGGCGAAATTGTACGAAACGAATTGAGAGCTCGCTAGGACGCTTCTGCTGCCGCGAACTGACCTCTACTTGCGAAACAAGGGCGGTAACTACTGCTGGGAAGTTCGTCAGCAACGGGAATCCCGAGGCTGTGCTGTGACCATCCCTGACCACACAACCAGTTGCCAGGCGACGAATTCCAAAATCTCACAAAAGCTCGCCCTAGTCGGACCTTGAGAAGCACGGAGGCTCTTCCTCATTTCATTGTTTGGCTTTGAAAGTCTTGTTGCGGTTTTAGCTGAAGCGCTTTTCACTCGTTTGCCTCGCTTACCAGTTCCTATTTCTGCGTCTCTGTAGCTGGAACAGGCCAAGCTTACCTGATATTAAGCTTGTCCGCGCATGGCTTTCGCTGGGTGGCTGCGCCGAAGCAGCAGCCACCGAAGGGCCGTAAGCGCGCTAAACTCCCCGCTTCCGCTTCAGCTGCTTAGACAGCTCGCTCCTGCCGCTATTGCCGCGAGCTACTTGGCGGAAGGCTTAGCGCAAGGTGTACCCGCTGCGGGGAGTTTCCACAGCGGGGCTACAGGCGTGTGCGGAAGCGGAGGGTCCGCAGTGCAGTCTTCCGCCAGTCCGCCAGGCGGATGGAGGCATCTGGGGAAGCAGGGGGACAGCGGAGAGGAGGATTCCGACAATGACCATAGCGTGGACGTCACGCCGTGGGTCCGCAGCGTCGCCAGGTCGGTAGTCTATGTTGTGACATATTGTCGTTTTGACATTTGACTCGACTCGAAAGATTCGGACAATGACCATAGTGTGGACGTCACGCCATGGGTCCGCAGCTTCGCCAGGTTGGTAGTTATTGCTGTGACATTGGAGTCGAGCTGAAAGATTCGGACAATATTCATTGTGGCCCGGAGCGTCGCCAGGTTGGTAGTTTATGTAGTGACATTTTACTCGAATCGACATATTCAGACAATGACCATCGCGTGGACGTCACGCCATGGGTCTGCAGCGGTGCGAGGTCAATAGATTGTTGTAACTCTCAATCGACTCAAAGCATTCGGAAAATGACCCTAGCGTTTATATCGCCCCTTGTGTCTGAAGCGTGGCCGGTAGACATTAACATATAGTCAATGTTGGAGTTATCGATAGCAGGCAGCGAGTTATTTGTAACAATGGTGGATTATGATATAGGCTAGTGCTGCGGAATAGCCATGCGTAACTGGCATTGTGACCGTGAATAGCCTGTTCGCGTCTGTGGCATCTAATGCCGCCTTTCGTCTCACTCCCTCGTCTGAGTCACCTTCAGTTGGGTGGATTTTCTTCGCAACAAAAGCGAGCGTAAAAGCTCCTCTGAATCAGACAGCTGTTTTATCTTCTCAGGGTACATTCCGCTCTGGACATGTCCCAAAAGTACATGTCCCAATCGGGTGTACCGCTCCGAACCGAACTAAACCAGAGACGCGAAAATTTTGACAATGTGTGAAACTAGGGTGTAATTCGGTGTAATAAGATGCAGTGCGGTAGAATCGATTGGGACACTTTCTATTGGGACATGTCCTGAGCGGAATGTGTTTTTTATATTTAATTTGTAACCCTGATTCTGTGCAATTTACTATTTTTGATTGACCAACAGCAATGACGTGGATTTTCGCCCAGCGCTACCTGCAGGCCCGACTCAGAAGCGACCAATGTATTGCATTTTCCACAACCTTGCTATCCGTCCATGTCATCTGCAGCGGGGTGGACCTGCTGCGCAACCCCAAGTACAACAAGGGGCTGGCCTTCACAGAGGAGGAGCCTGGGTCCATCGCTCTCAAGCATTAATCTTCCTCACAATGTCTCAACATGTCATCCTCCCTGCTACCTGTCTGCAGCGGGGTGGACCTGCTGCGCAACCCCAAGTACAACAAGGGCTTGGCCTTCACAGAGGAGGAGCGCGCTCGCCTGTACCTGAACGGGCTGCTGCCCGCCGGCTATATGAGCCAGGACCACCAGGTGGGTGGGACTGACTGCTAGCAGGCTAAATGAGCAACGCTGACTGCTAGCAGGCTATATGAACAACACTGACTGCTAGCAGGCTATATGATGAACAACACTGACTGCTAGCAGGCTACATGAACCACACTGACTGCTAGCAGGTAACATGCGCCAGGACCACCAGGCAAGACTCACTGCTAGCCGCCTAAACAAGTCACATTTCCTAAAAGCAGGTTAGATGAGCCAGGACCTCCTATCTTCCTTCGTTCCTTCTTTCCCTCCCTCGTTTTTTTCCTCCTTCCCTCCCCCTCTTTTTCCCTCCTTCCTTCAATCCTTCCCTCCCTCCCTCCCTCCCTCTCTCCCTCCCTCCCTCCCTCCTTCCCTCCCTCCCTCCCTCCCTCCTTCCCTCCCTCCTTCCCTTTTTTGGCTAACCTAAAAAGATGCACAGTCGGACCTGCAGCACTACGTGCACCTCATGTCTCTGCAGGAGCGTTGAGCAGCCACATAAACCCGAATCCCTCCCGTTCCCTCCCTTCCCTGTGCTTCTGTAACGCCGGGTCGACCGAGTCCTGGCGAATCTAAAGGAGGCGCAGTCAGATCTGCACTGCAGCGCTACGTGCACCTCATGGCGCTGCAGGAGCGCTAAACACCCCCGTTCCGTTCCCCTTCCCCCCTCCCGTTCCCTCCCTTCCCTGTGCTTCTGTAACGCCAGGTCGACCGAGTCCTGGTGAATCTAAAAGGAGGCGCAGTCAGATCTGCACTGCAGCGCTATGTGCACCTCATGGCGCTGCAGGAGCGCTAAACACCCCCGTTCCGTTCCCCTTCCCTCCTCCCGTTCTCTCCCTTCCCCTTCTTTCCTTGTGTAACGCCAGGTGGACAGGGTGCTGGCCAACCTGAAGGAAGCACAGTCGGACCTGCAGCGCTACGTGTTCCTCATGTCATGGCGCTGCAGGAGCGTTAAACGCTCCCTCCCTTCTGTCACACCCCTCTTTTCTCTCCCATACATTGCTGCCCTTGCAGGTCGACCGGGTGCTGGCGAACCTAAAGGAAGCACAGTCGGACCTGCAGCGCTACGTGTTCCTCATGGCGCTGCAGGAGCGCAACGAGCGGCTCTTCTACCGCGTGCTGGTGGACCATGTTGAGCAGCTCATGCCCATCGTGTGAGTACTGGAGGGAGTGAGAGAGTTTTGACAGTGAGTGTGAACAGAGCTCGTCTGAGGCTCTTCTACCGCGTGCTGGTGGACCACGTTGAGCAGCTCATGCCCATCGTGTGAGTGTAAACGGAGGGAGAGAGCGAGCTGTGAGGGCGAGTAGTGATGTCAGAAGATTGCTTGTGGCTCGCCTAGGGCTCTTCTACCGCGTGCTCGTGGACCATGTCGAGCAGCTCATGCCCATTGTGTGACTCTCAGTGAGGGCGAGATGTGATGGTGATAGTGAATGTCACAAGGGCTCGCCTAGGGCTCTTCTACCGCGTGCTGATGGACCACGTAGAGCAGCTCATGCCCATTGTGTGACTCCAGAAGGAAGAGTGGTGATGGTGCTGGTTCTTGTGCAACTTTTGGAAATTCTCAAGAGTGTCTGAACTTAACTTACCACCTTCCCCTCTTCTTCCAACTACCATAGCTTGTAGCTACACACCCATGCTAAAGAACTGGCCCACGAGGCTCCCCCTCCCACCTTCCCCTCTTCCCCCAACTACCACAGTTACACACCCACACAGTAAGTTTGGCATGCAGCAACACAACACCCCGTTCTTCCCTCCTCCATCCTTTGTCCCACTCCTCGCTTTCCCCTCGTCCACCGCAGCTACACCCCCACAGTGGGCCTGGTCTGCTGAGCGCTTCGTGAGCTTGTGAGCGCTTTGGCCTGCTGTTCCGGCGGCCGCGGGGGCTTGGGTTGGGATGCGACGTCACCCCGTTCTTCGCTCCTCCCCACTCCCCACCCCATTCCTCTATCCCCCTTCCCGTGCAGCTACGCCCCTACAGTGGGCCTGGCGTGTGAGCGCTTTGGGCTGCTGTTCCGGCGGCTGCGGGGGCTTGGGACGTCTTCCCTCCTTCCCACTCCCCACCCCATTCCTCTATCCCTCTTCCCGTGCAGCTACACCCCCACAGTCGGCCTGGCGTGTGAGCGCTTTGGCCTGCTGTTCCGGCGGCCGAGAGGGCTGTTTGTGTTGCAACGGAACCGCGGGCGGGTGATGGAGCTTCTTAATAACTGGCCTGAGAGACCCCTTCTTTTACACTTCCACCACCCCCTACTTGTGTTTCCCCAACCACCGCAGCTACACCCCTACAGTCGGCCTGGCGTGTGAGCGCTTTGGCCTGCTGTTCCGGCGGCCGCGAGGGCTCTTTGTGTCGCAGCGGGACCGCGGGCGGGTGATGGAGCTGCTAAAAAACTGGCCGGAAAGACGTGTGCGGGCTATTGTGGTCACTGACGGGGAGCGGGTGCTTGGGCTTGGAGACCTGGGAGTACAGGTGAGTCGTTGTGATGTGAGACCTAAGAGTGCAGTGCAGTTGACGGGAAGGCTGTCTTAGTTGCAGCGGGACCGAGGGCGGGTGATGGAGCTGCTTAAGAACTGGCCAGAGCGGCGCGTGCGAGCCATCGTTGTTACCGACGGGGAGAGAGTGCTGGGGCTTGGAGATCTTGGCGTGCAGGTGAGTCGAGTGCCTGGGAGGGCAAGTGAGGTTGAGGGAAAGGCTGTCTGTGTCGCAGCGGGACAGTGGGCGGGTGATGGAGCTTTTCAAGAACTGGCCTGAGAGGCGCGTGCGAGCCATCGTGGTTACGGACGGGGAGAGAGTACTTGGGCTTGGGCTTGGGGACCTGGGCGTGCAGGTGAGTCGTAGTGCCTGGGCGTACGGGTGAGGGTGAGAGAAAGGATAGAAACGATTCTTTGAAACGATTCTTTGCCAAGGGCGCCCATATCCCAGGGTTTTAGGTACATTTCACAAATCACTTTCTCGTTACGAAACTCCCCCCTCTCTCTGCGCTCCTTCCCTCCCCGATGTGTCAGGGCATGGCGTGGGCAAGTTGACACTCTATACGGCTTGCGGAGGCATTCACCCGGCCAGCCTCCTCTCCCTACTCTCCCTGTCCTTCTCCTCTCATTTCCCTCGCCCCCCACTCGCTCCCCCAACCCCCTCCCACCTTGGTTCGTCAGGGCATGGCGATAGCCGTGGGAAAGTTGACGCTCTACACAGCGTGTGGAGGCATTCACCCAGCAGAGGTAGGCAGCAGAGGGAGAGGGAGTGGGGGGGATGATTCAGGGTCATCGTTTCGTTTTCAAGGTTCACGTCAAAGCTGTGGAAAACTGACACTCTGTTCCTCGTCCTGCATCCCAATGTCTGCCTGTGACTATTGACGTGGGCACCAACAACCAGACTCTGCTCCCACCGTTCTCGTGTGTGCCTGTTACCCCCATCCCTTGTGTCTGCTGTACCTTCCCTGTTTCCCTTTCTGGTGCCCATTCCTCTCATCCCAATGTCTGCCTGTGACGATCGACGTGGGCACCAACAACCAGGCTCTGCTCAAATAGAGGTCCTTTACACCCACCTCTCTCACTCACCTCTTGCCTTCCTTGCATCCCCCATATGTGCTGTGGCCCCCGCCCACCCCCCATCCCAGTGTCTGCCTGTGACCATCGACGTGGGCACCAACAACCAGGCTCTGCTAAAGGACCCCTTCTATCCTGGGCTCAGGCAACCGCGTGCCACAGGAGAGGTAGGTTTCCACGTGCATAGATTAACGTGTGAGGCGCCTCATACAACAACCAGGCTCTGCTCAAAGACCCCTTCTATCCTGGGCTCAGGCAACCGCGTGCCACAGGAGAGGTACGCCCTCAGTCACGTGCTACATTAACTTGTGAGGCGCCTCATACAACAACCAGGCTCTGCTCAAAGACCCCTTCTATCCTGGGCTCAGGCAACCGCGTGCCACAGGAGAGGTACGCCCTCAGTCACGTGCTACATTAACTTGTGAGGCGCCTCATACAACAACCAGGCTCTGCTCAAAGACCCCTTCTATCCTGGGCTCAGGCAACCGCGTGCCACAGGAGAGGTACGCCCTCAGTCACGTGCATAGATTAACTTGTGAGGCGCCTCATACAACAACCAGGCTCTCCTGAAGGACCCCTTCTACCCGGGGCTCAGGCAACCGCGTGCCACAGGAGAGGTAGGTTTCCACGGGCGCAGCTTAACTTGTGAGGCGCCTCATACAACAACTAGGCTCTGCTCAAAGACCCCTTCTATCCGGGGCTCAGGCAACTGCGTGCCACAGGAGAGGTAGTTTTCCACGTGCATAGAATCTACCCTCACTGTGTAATGGGTTCTCTATTCCCCCTCCCCCGCTCTCCCCCCTCTCTCCCTCCCCCCTCTTCCTCCTCCTGCTTTAAAATCTACCCTCAATGCACAATCTCCCCTCTGTTTCCCTTCGTCCACCATCAGGAGTGCGACGAGCTGATAGACGAGTTCATATAGGCGTGCAAGCAGCGGTTCGGATCAGGGATGTCAAGAAACGACTCAGAACTCTCCTTTACCTCAACCCTTTCCGTCCCCGCCACATCACCAGGAGTGCGACGAGCTGATAGACGAGTTCATGGAGGCGTGCAAGCAGCGGTTCGGGTCGGACGTGCTCTGACCCCATTGACAAGTCGTCCCTCTCACTCCCCCTCTCTTCTCCTTGTCCCCTACCCTCGCCTCTCCCACCATGAGGAGTACGACGAGCTGATAGACGAATTCATGGAGGCGTGCAAGCAGCGGTTCGGGTCGGACACGGCCAGATCCTTACTTCCCCTCTCCCACCCGCTGTTCCTGCCTCTCTTTCCCTTTGCCAGGAGTACGACGAGCTGATAGACGAGTTCATGGAGGCGTGCAAGCAGCGGTTCGGGTCGGACGTGCTGATTCAGTTTGAGGACTTTGCCAACCACAACGCCTTCCGCCTGCTCTTCCAGTACCGCGGCACTCACCTCGTCTTCAACGACGATATCCAGGTGGGCTTGTCTGCGCTGCTGCTGCTCACCTCGTTCATTCAACCTTCTTTCCAACCAGCCCCCCACCATCCCCTCACCATCTCCCCCCCTACCATCTCCCCCCCCAACACCTCCCCCTCATCACTCTCCCACCAGGGCACGGCAGCAGTGGCACTGGCAGGTCTGCTTGCCGCTCGACCGCTGCTCGGCTCATCCCTCTCGAGCCAAACCATCCTTTTCTTTGGGGCAGGGGAGGCCGGCACAGGCATTGCTGAGCTGCTGGCCACCGCCATCAGCAGAGAGGCGAACATATCGCTGGCAGAGGCCCGAGGCCGCATCTGGCTCGTTGACTCCAAGGTGAGATCCTTAGAGTTGTTGCAGCCTTTAAATCAATCGGAAGGCCGGTTATTGAGTCGAGCAGAAAGTGAGGCCGGCACCGGCATTGCTGAGCTGCTGGCCACCGCCATCAGCAGCTCAGCAATCAGCAGAGCGGCGAACATATCGCTGGCAGACGGCCATCAGCAGAGAGGCAAACATATCGCTGGCAGAGGCCCGAGGTCGCATCTGGTTGGTCGACTCCAAGGTGAGATCCTTAAAGTTGTTGCAACCTTGCAATCAGTGGGAAGGCCGATTATTGAGTCAAGCAGAAAGTGAGGCCGGCACCAGCATTGCTGAGCTGCTTGCCACGGCCGTCAGCAGAGAGGCGAACATATCGCTGGCAGAGGCCCGAGGACGCATCTGGATCGTTGACTCCAAGGTGAGATCCTTGATTGGATGGCAAACTGGCCTCCGAGGTTTGGCCTGGCCTGGCCTGGCCTGGCCTTGAGATGTCTCAAAACTCGAGGCTTGAGACGTCTCAAGGCTTGAGGACGCATTTGGCTGGTGGACTGGACTCCAAGGTGGGACGCTCACTTTTGAGACGTCTCAAAACTGGTCACCAAGGTGAGACGCTCATTTTTGAGACGTCTCAAAACTGGTCACCAAGGTGAGACGCTCATTTTTGAGACGTCGCAAAACTGGTCTCCAAGGTGAGACGCTCAGAGTTGCAGCCTTTTGATCGGTTAGCAAGCTGAGTTTCCAGTCAATGGCCTGTCGCTCCCCTCCTTCCATGCCTTCAACCTGCCTGCCTCCTGCTCCCCCTCCCTTCTTCCCTCCCTCCCAGGGCCTGGTGGTGCGCAGCAGAGTGAACTCGCTGCAGCCACACAAGGTGCCCATGTCAGTGGTCCATCCATCACACCCCTCCTTCCCTGCCTTCAACCTGCCTGCCTCTTGCTCTCCTGCCTTCCTCTCTCCTTCCAAGGGCCTGGTGGTGCGCAGCAGAGTGGAATCGCTGCAGCCACACAAGGTGCCCTTCGCCCATGTCAATGGTCCGTCACTCCCCTCCTTCCATAGCCTTCAACCTGCCTGCCTCCTGCTCTCCTCCCTTCTTCCCTCCCTCCCAGGGCCTGGTGGTGCGCAGCAGAGTGGACTCGCTGCAGCCACACAAGGTGCCCTTCGCGCATGACCACCACTCGTCATTCCTGACATTCTCCAATGGCCATCTCTCTGTAATCTCCTGTCGTCCCTCCTATTATCTCCTCTCCAGGGTCTGGTGGTGCGCAGCAGAGTGGACTCGCTGCAGCCACACAAGGTGCCCTTCGCCCATGACCACCCTGAGTCAGCTGATCTCGTAGAGACCATCCATGTGAGTGGCGGGGTTTGGGGTTGGGGTCAGATCACCACATCACGCCCATGACCACCCCGAGTCAGCTGATCTGGTTGAGACCATTCATGTGAGTGGCAGGGTTCAGGGTTAGGGTCAGATCACCACATCACGCCCATGACCACCCCGAGTCAGCTGATCTCGTAGAGACCATCCATGTGAGTGGCAGGGTTTGGAGTTAGGGTTGGGCACAAACTCCTCTGCTTGAAACCACGTGTAAAAATAGTACTTTTGGGACGTCTCAGAAGTACTCTTTTTACCATCCATGTGAGTGGCAGGGTGTGGAGTTAGGGTTGGGCACAGTCTCCTCTGCTTGAGTAGGGTATGTGACTGATGTGACCATATTTCCCAACTTCATTCACCCACCTCGCCATATTCTCTCGCATTGATTCGCGTGTCTCAATTCTCTCAGCACACATACCAGCTGGAAATCCGACCACACGAGTATCGGTCTTGCTATTTTTGAACTCATATGTGTCTCCTTCTGTATTGCTCCATTGTCTCCTTCTGTATTGCTCCATTGTCTCCTTCTGTATTGCTCCATTGTCTCCTTCCGTATTGCTCCATTGTCTCCTTCTGTATTGCTCCATTGTCTCCTTCCGTATTGCTCCATTGTCTCCTTCTGTATTGCTCCATTGTCTCCTTCTGTATTGCTCCATTGTCTCCTTCCGTATTGCTCCATTGTCTCCTTCTGTATTGCTCCATTGTCTCCTTCTGTATTGCTCCATTGTCTCCTTCTGTATTGCTCCATTGTCTCCTTCTGTATTGCTCCATTGTCTCCTTCTGTATTGCTCCATTGTCTCCTTCTGTATTGCTCCATTGTCTCCTTCTGTATTGCTCCATTGTCTCCTTCTGTATTGCTCCATTGTCTCCTTCTGTATTGCTCCATTGTCTCCTTCCGTATTGCTCCATTGTCTCCTTCTGTATTGCTCCATTGTCTCCTTCTGTATTGCTCCATTGTCTCCTTCCATATTGCTCCATTGTTTCCTTCTGTATTGCTCCATTGTCTCCTTCTGTATTGCTCCATTGTCTCCTTCTGTATTGCTCCATTGTCTCCTTCTGTATTGCTCCATTGTCTCCTTCTGTATTGCTCCATTGTCTCCTTCTGTATTGCTCCATTGTCTCCTTCTGTATTGCTCCATTGTCTCCTTCTGTATTGCTCCATTGTCTCCTTCTGTATTGCTCCATTGTCTCCTTCTGTATTGCTCCATTGTTTCCTTCTGTATTGCTCCATTGTCTCCTTCTGTATTGCTCCATTGTCTCCTTCTGTATTGCTCCATTGTCTCCTTCTGTATTGCTCCATTGTCTCCTTCTGTATTGCTCCATTGTCTCCTTCTGTATTGCTCCATTGTCTCCTTCTGTATTGCTCCATTGTCTCCTTCTGTATTGCTCCATTGTCTCCTTCTGTATTGCTCCATTGTCTCCTTCTCCGTCCATTCCCCAGGCCATACGGCCAACAGCGTTGATAGGAGTGTCAGGGCAGGCAGGGACGTTCACCCAGCCCGTGTGTGAAGCCATGGCCCAACTCAACGAGGTGAGAGCTGGGCAAGTTATTAGGTCAAAAAGATGTCGGCTGCTGCTGCTGTGATTGTTGCTCGTGCACCGAGAGGGGTGTCGGGGCGAGGAGGGGCGTTCACCCAGCCCGTATGTGAAGCCATGGCCCAACTCAACGAGGTGAGGGCCGGGGTTGAATTGTGAGGCGCCTAAAGAACAACAGCGTTGATAGGAGTGTCAGGGCAGGCAGGCCAGCCAGTGTGTGAAGCCATGGCCCAACTCAACGAGGTGAGGGCTGGGCAAGTTATTAGGTTGAAAATATGTCGGCTGCTGCTGCTGTGATTGTTGCTCGTGCACCGAGAGGGGTGTCGGGGCGAGGAGGGGCGTTCACCCAGCCCGTGTGTGAAGCCATGGCCCAACTCAACGAGGTGAGGGCCGGGGTTGAATTCTGAGGCGCCTAAAGAACAACAGCGTTGATAGGAGTGTCAGGGCAGGCAGGGACTTTCACCCAGCCAGTGTGTGAAGCCATGGCCCAACTCAACGAGGTGAGAGCTGGGGAAGTTATTAGGTCAAAAATATGTCGGCAAGTTATTAGGTCAAAAATATGTCGGCTGCTGCTGCTGTGATTGTTGCTCGTGCACCGAGAGGGGTGTCGTGTCGGGGCGAGGAGGGACGTTCACCCAGCCCGTGTGTGAAGCCATGACCCAACTCAACGAGGTGAGGGCTGGGGATGCATTTTAGGTGCCTTAGAAGCTGTTTCAATATATGAGATGGTGCTGGTAGCAGTGCCGGGGCAGGCAGGGGCGTTCACCCAGCCCGTGTGTGAAGCCATGGCCCAACTCAACGAGGTGAGGGCTGGGGTTGAATTGTGAGGCGCCTAAAGAACAACAGTGCTGATAGGGGTGTCAGGGCAGGCAGGGACGTTCACCCAGCCCGTTTGTGAAGCCATGGCCCAACTCAACGAGGTGAGGGCTGGGGATGCATTTTAGGTGCCTTAGAAGCTGTTTCAATATATGAGATGGTGCTGGTAGCAGTGCCGGGGCAGGCAGGGGCGTTCACCCAGCCCGTGTGTGAAGCCATGGCCCAACTCAACGAGGTGAGGGCTGGGGGTATCTTCTTGTCCAGAGTGATGTGGGCTGCTGCTGCTGCTGCTGCTGCTGCTGCTGCTGCTGTGTGCTGCTCCTGCTCCTATTGCTGCTCCTACTGCTGCTCCTCCTACTCTTATTGCTCTTCCTGCTCCTGCTGCTCCAGCTTCCCATCCACTTCGCTCTCAGATCCGTCTCAACCGTTCTCAAATCCATCTCAACCGTTCTCAGATCCATCGCAACCGCCCTCCTTTGTCTCCTGTCAACCCCCTTGCTTGCCCGTCCTCCCTACCCCCCACCAGCGTCCTGTCGTCTTTGCTCTCTCCAACCCCACGTCGCTCTCTGAGTGCACAGCAGAGGATGCTTACAAGTGGACCCAGGTGTGTGAATGGGTTGAGATGGGTGAATGGGTCCATGTGTGCGGATGGGTTGAGATGGGTGGACGAGTCCCTATGGGCGTGATGGGGGTGAACGTGTATGGTGGTGGTTGTGTCCGTGTGAATGGTTGAATTGTCTCACGTGAAAAGCATTTCTGCCATTCTCCACATCGCTCTCCTTGCCTCTCTCCACCCCTCTCCACCCCTTCAAGGTCGATCCATATTCCACAACCGCGGCAGCCCGTTCGCCCCAGTGGAAATGGGCGGCCGGCAGGTGGTTTGTGCCGGGGCAGGGCAACAACGCGTATGTGTTCCCTCAAGCCTGCTTAACTTATCTTCTCAACCCATTCTTCCACCCCTCCAGGGTCGGACCATCTTCGCCAGTGGCAACCCGTTACCCCCCGTGGAGATGGGCAGCAACCACTATATCTTCCTGCACGCCCACCCACTGCACCCCTCCACACCCCTTTCCACTCCACCAGGGTCGAGCCATATTCGCCAGTGGCAGCCCATTTCCCCCGGTGGAGATGGGCAGCAAATACTAAATCCTCCTGCACGCCCACCCACTCCACCACCCCACACCCCCCTCCACCCCACCAGGGTCGAGCCATATTCGCCAGTGGCAGCCCATTCCCCCCGGTGGAGATGGGGGCAGCAAACACTAAATCCTCCTGCACGCCCACCCACTCCACCACTCCACACCCCCCTCCACCCCACCAGGGTCGGGCCATCTTCGCCAGTGGCAGCCCGTTTCCCCCGGTGGAGATGGATGGGAAGCGGTTCGTGCCCGGGCAGGGCAACAACGCGTATGTGTTTCCGGGGATCGGCCTCGGCTGTCTCATGTGTGGCGCCACCAGGATGAGAGACGAGATGTTCCTCGCTGCTGCTGAGGCGCTCGCAGCACAGGTGAGAATCAACCATTGCGGCACAGCGATATCGACATGTGTGGTGCTACCAGGATGAGAGACGAGATGTTCCTCGCTGCTGCTGAGGCGCTGGCTGCACAGGTGAGAATCAACCATTGCGGCACAGCGATATCGACATGTGTGGCGCCACCAGGATGAGAGACGAGATGTTCCTCGCTGCTGCGGAGGCACTCGCAGCACAGGTGAGGACGTTTGGGGTGCTGGCGGGACAGGTGAGAATCATAGGTTTCTACCAGGTGCGCATGAGAGACCAGATGTTCCTTGCTGCTGCGGAGGCGCTCGCAGCACAGGTGAGGGTGACAAGGGTTATGCCCCGTGTTTTCAGCCGAATCAAAGGCCACCACCACCAGGTGAGGTGGCTGTTGAGTCAAATCAAAGTGTGGCTTTAAAGCGCCACCTCTTGTCACCTTTTTGTCCTGTGTTCCTCCCCTTGTCTTCCCTCCCATGTGTGCTTCTCAGGTGAGCGATGATGACAGGGAGCAGGGGCGCGTGTACCCACCCATCTGGAAGATTCGGCAGATCTCAGCTCACATCGCCACAACTCCCTTCCTTCTTTACTCCCCTCCCCTCCCCACTAACCCCCCCTCATGTGTGCTTCTCAGGTGAGCGACGATGACAGGGAGCAGGGGCGCGTGTACCCACCCATCTGGACGATCCTCCCTGCTCCAACACCCATCCCCAAAACTCCTTCCTTCTTTCCCCCCTTCACCTCCCCACTTACTCTCCCCTTGTATGGACCTCAGGTGAGCGACGATGACAGGGAGCAGGGGCGAGTGTACCCACCCATCTGGAAGATCCGACAGATCTCTGCACACATCGCCAAAACTCCCTTCCTTCTTTACCCCCCTCCCCTCCCCACTTACCCCCCCTCATGTGTGCTTCTCAGGTGAGCGACGACGACAGGGAGCAGGGGCGAGTGTACCCACCCATCTGGAAGATCCGACAGATCTCAGCACACATCGCCAAGGCCGTTGCTGCCAAGGCCTATGACCTCGGTGAGTTGGGAGGAGAGCTGTAGGCCGGGCAGGGCAGTCAGGAAACACGCGTGTGCCCTCATTCTTGGCCATACTCTAAGATCTCAGCACACATCGCCAAGGCCGTTGCTGCCAAGGCCTATGACCTCGGTGAGTTGGATGGAGGGCTGTAGGGCGGGCAGGGCAGTCAGGAAACACTCATGTGCCCTCATTCTTGGCCATACTTTAAAATCTCAGCTCACATTGCCTCCAAGGCCGTTGCTGCCGACGCATATGATCTCGGTGAGTTGGGAGGAAAGGTACATTCACGTGCACTTATTTCTAGTCGACTTAACGATCTCAGCACACATCGCTAGGGCCGTTGCTGCCAAGGCATATGACCTCGGTGAGTTGGGAGGAGAGCTGTCGGGCTGTAGGGAGGGCAGGGAAGGCAGGGTATATTCATGTGCCCCCATCCTTAGCCACACTGAACGATCTCAGCACACATCGCGAGGGCCGTTGCCGCTAAGGTGTATGGCATGGGTGAGTTGTTGTGGGACACCACCTCACGCGCAGGCTTAGGTATTTGTGGTTTGATTCAATGCAAAATAGCAGTGAATCAGGTGAGTGAGGGGGCTCGTTTCGTTGATGCCCTATGAGACAGCACATGGGCGTGGCACAGCCGCTGTCATGCCATTGCCTTTTCTTTCACCCGTTTTTTACCCTCAGCCTCTTGCACGGTCACTCCCTCCCCCTGCTCCCCTCCCTCAGGCGTGGCGACGAACTTGCCCAAGCCACCTGACCTCCTGTCCTACGCCTTCAGCAAAATGTACAACCCTCACTACAGAAGCTTCCGATGATGCCAGCAGGAAGTTTCTTTCCAGATATAAAAGATGATATGTTGTGTACTACAGTTCCTCTGCGGATCCCGTAGCTGTAATTCAGTAGCGTATATACTAAGGAATTGTACGGCATGTAGAAGGAACCACTTATCAGGATGCTGGATGCTATGCTAGTAATGGGTTCACAATGAGGATGGTTTGCTGGCAATGGGTTCACAGCTAGGATAATGTCTTCGGAATTTAACTCCCCCTCATCCATCACATACCGGTACCTGAACGGTACCTCCTAGAACCGACTGTTCCAAATACAGTAATGATCATCCAGGTGACAAAGCTGGTCATACAATAACGTTTAACACCGCATAGAGCATGTTGTATATTTTAACAAGGTTTGGGATGCCAATGGCTTCTTGACACCGCTGAAACATTCTACCATAACCAGCCTAGGCAGCAGCGAACAGCATGAACACGAATCCGGTGGAAAGCAAATCTTCAGCGGTAGTAGCCTTGGGTACCTTGCTTCGACGCACCACCTGCAAACACTGCAATCAAATAGTGAGGCATGAGTCGCACAGCAGGCAGGAACATCGTGTGAACAACGCGAAGGCGGTGTTTCGCATGCAAAATGCGGTGAATAAATCGTTGAATGTGAGTGGACATGGAGGCCAATGGAACGAGGTAAGAGCATCCCATCGGTACTATGTGCCACGTGTCCCTCTTGGGAATTCCGCGAAACCAGCCTCCGCATTGGTGTAACCGGCAGCCCTGCCACGTCAGCCAACCACACCAGCCGCCGAAGCAGATCGTGAAACGAGGTCCCACGATCCGCAGAAGCAGCTGGCAGGATTGGCTTAACGAGGCGAGCTGCGGGTTAAGCGGTGGCTGGAAAAGAGAGGAATCCCCTTAGCAGACAGTTGTGAGGAATAACAATACAAGAATAATAAGGTCATTACCTGTGAGATAAAGGACCGATTCGCTGGTTGAAATCAGGGATCACGAGGGTTATATGCCCCACTGGCACAATGGATTGCGGTTAGAGCCAAGGAGCTGGGAGAGCAGGGGTTTCGAAAGCAAGTACAGAAACGACGAGAGCAAGCGAGGACGATGGAAAAGGGTGATAGAGGATGGAAAGGCGATGAAAACGAACGAAATTGAGAGAAGAGCGTATGGAGCGGAGCAGGGAGGGGCGATGGGAGAGACCAGGCCCGAAGCGAACCAGGTTATGACGAGGGGAAGGGAAAAAATAGAATTTCCAGGGTTTTGTCCTCCCAAAAAGAGGTCGGGGGGAGGTCAGGGGAGAGCTTGGGTGGATAATTGGTGTGCGCGCAAAGTTGGAGTTGCGGATGGCACTCCTAACCCAAGCGAGCAGGGTGGGGGGTGCGGAAAGGTTGCCGTGCAGTCCCTCGGGGTTGCCGAGCGAGAAGTGGTGTAGTCCGTAACAGCACGAGTTTAACTTTGATGTGTAGTGCACATACCTGACGTGAGGTACTAAATTTTAAAAATTCTACTTATCGAGGAGAGATGAGAAGCAGCTAAACCCCCATGCTTTTGTTTTCACACGGTTCACGCGTGCACACGTTCTGTGTTGGAAATCCAACATTTGAAGGCACTACATCATCTGCTACTGTAGCCTGTGCCTACATCTGCGATATGATGGTATGTGATGAAAATTAAACCACAGAAACCACTATGCGTGTCCAGCCTTGTTGGATCTACACTGCAGGCAGTGCTGGTGGCGGAGAGCCTTGTCTGAGGTACATTCGGGCGGCAGGCACCTGAGAGTCCTGACAATCCGCGCTACACGACTGCTTATCAGTCGTAAGCCATACGGTAATTAAAAAAGTATTCTCAACATGTCAGTCTAACGAAGTTTGTGTGCTGCAAATGGGTGATTCTCCACCGCTCACCGCCACCACCCATCTCCCCTCACCGAATCTCACATACCGTGTCAGAGCGACAAGATTGGGATTTCTGGTGAGGCAAAATGTGCGCGTGTTGCGGGAAGGAGAGGTAGTTCCTGAATCCCCTGATTTGACCCCACTAGTGATTCTGACACAACTGACGGCATTGCACGATAGGAGCTACTCAGCCAAAGTAGTGGGATGTAAATTAGTCTGACTCTCGTTGATCTACTAGCCGAACCTGTTGCTGGTTTCGTTATTACCGGTCGCCTGTTTCCTTGCTCCCAGGACTCCTCTTGCCCGGTTTCCTTGCTCCCAGGACTCCTCTTGCCTGGTTTCCTTGCTCCGAGGACTCCTCTTGCCTGGTTTCCTTGCTCCTGTTCGCGTCGAAACGTAACAATGAGGGCCTTTCTTCCCTCGAAGCTGCGTCACGCGGGCTCGCGTCAGCATGAGGCGAGCAAGACAACGGCATCCGCATCCGCATCCCCAGTGAACAACGGAGATGATGAAAATGCGACGAATAATCCGGCTTCGCGGGATGCTGTACATTGTCGAGGAAATGCACCTGGGAGCAGCGCCGAAAGCCAGCATTCAGGCACCTCGCTGCTAATGCTACGACCTGGTACGGAAACTTTGCTTCTGCTGACGTGTTTTCGAATTCCAATTTCAGACTCCAATTTCTTCTTAGTAATGCCCTCCCGTACACTCATTTTTTTTCGTATGTCCCGCATTGACTGCTAATATCATTCTCTTATTCTTACTTATTGAAATGCTACGAAAAGAAGCAAAAAAATAAAAAGAACCCCTCTGTTGTGATGGATGAGGGTGCATCTGAACCATCCCCCCTGTTTCCCCCTTATTGTGCACCTTCGAACCACCCGCTTCCCCCAGTCCCCCCTCCCTCTCTTTCTTCCCGTCGTCAGTCACTGCACCGTCAAGCGACAGTCAGGGCCGGCGGCAGCACACAACAACGACCTTCTCTGTTTGTGATTATGAGTTGATTTTGCTGAACCACTTCCCCTGTTCTCCCCCTTCAACCCCCCTCTCCACACCCTCCTCCCAGCCACTGCGCCATCAAGCGGCAGGCAGGGCCGGCGGCAGCACACAGCAAAGCCCCCTTCTGGGGCGGAAGCACACCACAGGGGCAACAGCCACGACAGTTCTGCTGTTACTGGTACAGATGCTACCAATGCTACTGGTGCCGCTGCTGCTGCTTCTGAAAGCCGCGGATGGCCCTTCAACTCGGAAACCAGTCCTGACACTGCTGCAGCAGCAGGGGGAGCAGAAGGGACAGCAGTCGACGATGCTGTAGAGAGAGGAGGAGAGGGGTGCTCGCCGCCTGACATGCTCGTGCTAGACTTGCACTCCGATGCTGCCCCTGTGACAGATACTGCTGCTGCTGCTGCTGCTGCTGCTGCTGGCGGCGGCAGTGGTGGCGGTTTTGGTGATGGTGATGGTGGTGGTAATACTTTTGCCAAGCATGATTCGCAGCTGCATGAGCATAATCACGAGCATGAACATGCACATGAGTTTAAGCAGGAGCATCGGAGGAGTCTCTGCTTTGAGGGGCTACCAGAGGATCTGTGGGTGAAGGTGCTGCAGATGCTCAAACCGGCAGATCTGACGGCCGTGAGGGCCACCTGCAGCCCGCTCTACCGGCTAGCTGGTGGGTTGAGAGAGTGAGTGCGAGCATGTTGTTATTGCGAAAGCGATGATGATATCTGTCGAGGCTCAGTTTCTTGATTTGTCGCTTCACCTGGTCCCCCTCCTCCTGCAGCTCTCATGCTTCTCCCCCCCCCACCCCCCCCTCCGTTGTCTTCCCCTTCACTCCCCCGCCTCTCCCAGTGCGCGCCCGGCCATCAGTCTCCATCCGCCAGCCCCCCAAGCGCCCATCCGACTTCCCCCCCTTCCTCGCCCGCGCCGGCCCCCACCTCCTTCCCCATCCCCTCCTTTGCAGTGCGCGCCCGCCCATCAGTCTCCATCCGCCAGCCCCCCAAGCGCCCATCCGACTTCCCGCCCGCGCCGGCCCCCACCTCCTTCCCCATCCCCTCCTTTGCAGTGCGCGCCCGCCCATCAGTCTCCATCCGCCAGCCCCCCAAGCGCCCATCCGACTTCCCCCCCTTCCTCGCCCGCGCCGGCCCCCACCTCCTTCCCCATCCCCTCCTTTGCAGTGCGCGCCCGCCCATCAGTCTCCATCCGCCAGCCCCCCAAGCGCCCCTCCGACCAAGGTGCAAAAAAACGGCCGAAACTTTGAAATTTCGGCGTAAAAAACGGTATCGTAGTTTTCGGTCGTAAAAAACGGTTTAAAACGGTAAAACCATGTCATTTTGTGCTGGTGCAAAAAAACGGCCGTTTTTTTCGACCGAAACTTTGAAACCATCGTTGTAACTCATAATTAGTGGATTTTTAAAGGGGATAGGAATTGCTTGCCGTTTTCACTGTCGATTTCCGACATGCGGCTCGTTGAATTTTCTCGAGCCGCGAATTCAGTCTGAACCGAGTCGCGCATTTCAACATTTGACGACAATGTTTCGCCACATGCGAACCGTTTTCGCGCCAGCTGACAATGTGTTTTCTCGCATACAGAGGGTGTCGCAATTTTCGCGCAATGCTAATGCAAAGCGCGACCAATCAGAACACCCCTACAGTGTTGGTCGAGTCGCCCCGAATGCAGCATTTCGCGATCGCGAACCGAAGACATTACCCGCTTCGTTAATTTTTTCAAATTTTCGCGCTAGAAGCGAAAATGTTTCGCGCATGCGGGGTGTGTCGCAAAGCGCATGCCACTCGAGAGTCGCGACCAATCACAGCAGCCCAAGCCCAATCTTCCGAAGTGAGTTGCTCATCCTCAACTCGACAATGCACTTCAGCTCCCGAAGTACAAAGAGGCTCTGTCCAGGGCCTCTTAACTCATAGCCACTGAGGCTATTCCAGCACTCTCTCTATCAGATTAGCCACCCCAAGCCTTGCACCATGGTTCGACCGCAGTCACGCTATTGGCTGCACGTTAGGAAAGAGACGGCGGAAGATGGTACAATCACTAGCTGCGTGTGCCTTCACTGTCATTTGCCGGTAACCCCAAACGCAACTAGAATTGGGGAGCACCTTTTAGGCACTCCAAGCTCCAAGCATAAGAACATTACCCTCTGCGAATCAGATTATGCGAAGCAGCTGCGAGCGTCGTCCGTCGAGGAGCGTTCGTCCTTTGAAGACGGCTCTAATGGAGCGTCTACGTCCACTATGGAGGTGCAGTTACCCCGGCGCTCACGGCAGCGGGACATTCGGGAGATGGCCGACGTGACAGCGCGCGGACGCTTGGACTACCTGTGGGCGGCTGCTGTGGCGGAAAACGACCTGGCGTTTAGGACGTCTTCGTCTAAGGCGATGCAAGCGTTTGTGGATGCAGTCGCCGCATTCGGGAAGGCCTACACCTTACCTTCGGCATACAAGGTGGCGGGCCCACTTCTTGTCAAGTTGAAGCTCGACACGGAGGAGCTCATCAAGCCAATCAAAGAGAGTTGGCCGAGAAGCGGATGCACCCTCACGATGGACGGTTGGACGTGCCTCAAAAGCTGGGGCATGATTTGCGTCATCGCCCAAAACGACACCGCGCCGGTGATTGTGGACTGCGTCGACTCCAAAACCGCGAAGAAAACTGGAGAGTACCTCGCGAAGCTCATCCAACATGCGATTTGCGAGGTGGGGGACAGCCACGTTGTCCAAGTCGTCATGGACAACGCGGCTAACAACAAGCGCGCGGCAAACTTGCTCAAGGACGAGTACCCGCAAGTCTTCTTCACCAATTGTGCGGCCCACGTCTTGGACCTCATGCTTCACGATATGGGGAAGGTCAAGGCGGTGAAGAGGGTCCTCAACCAGGTGCATCGGGTTGTGATGATGGTCAAGGGGAGTGCCTCGGCCGTCACACTTTTCCGTGAGTTGTTTAGCAAGCTAGCGCTTGTCCGCCCTGGTGCTACTCGTTTTGGAACGCAAGTGATCATGATCGAGCGTTTCCTTGAGGTTAAAAAGGCATTGAAGGAGATGGTGATTAGTGAGGAGTGGAAAAGTGTAGCGGTGGCGAACACGGAGGAGGGGCAGGCTATACGTGGTCTCCTCTTGGAGGAGACGTTTTGGGACTCCGTCACGGCCATTCTCGGCCTCATGAAGCCCATCTACGAGGTGCTACGCATCGTTGACCGGCGGTCCCTTGTGATGGGGAGCGTCTACGGCCTCATGCTTGAGGCTACGGTCAAGACCAACGAAGCGGCAACGAAGGCGGGTAAGTTCAATGTATTAGACATATGAATCAATTAGTTCAACGATTCTGTCCCTACCCTACACCAGCCACTCCGACATATGAAGGCGGGTAAGTTCAATGTATTAGACATATGAATCAAGGCCGCGTTTCTTGCTGCGTTTAAGGCTATCATAGCCAACCGATGGGACGGACAGCTGCACAACCCCCTCCACGCCTTGGGGTGGCTTCTAAACCCGAAGAATCAGTACGTAGGCGAGATTCGGGAGGATGCGGAACTGAGGGCGGGGGCTGAAGAGGTGTTTAAGGCAAGGGGGGGCAGTGTTGAGATGCGGACGATGCTAGCGGTGCAACTAGCCGCTTTTCACAAGGGAGAGGGGAAGTTGGGGTCTGTGGATGCGCGGTGGGCTGCCACCATCTTGGTGGAGAGCGGGAGGCTCTCCGCGGCTGAGTGGTGGGCGCTGTATGGGGGTGAGGTTCGTGCTTTGCAAAAGATTGCGGTGATGTTGCTCTCCCAGCCCGTGACTTCATCCGAGGTCGAGCGGTACTGGTCCGCTCTCGCAAGGGTCCAAAGGCGGGACCGCAACCGGCTGAATGCCACGTCCATGACGGACGTGGCATTCGTGGCATTTGGCCGGCGAGCTCGGGAGTCCTATGACAAAAAAACAGAGGCCCGTGCTAAGCTCTACAGCGAGTTGAGCAATGGATCGCTGCAGGAGGGCAGCACAAGCGTGCTTCTTTCTCTTCCGGTGGAGGCGGAGGTGGATGAGGAGGAGGAGGCGGGGGGGGAGCCGTGTACCATTGACTGGGACACCTTCGGGAACATTGGCAAGCGGGTGACCAAAAGGAAGCGCGCAAATCTGAAGAAGAAGAAGAGTGCTGAGGATGGGAGCAGTGATGATGACAGTGGTCCGGATGAACCAACCAAGCGGAAGAACAAGGGGGTGAATGCGTGGGATTGTAGCGACGGGAGTAGCGGGGAGGAGGAGGATGACGAGGAGGATGAGGAAGAGGAGGAGGATTAGGACTAAGTAGGAGGAGGGGGCTGAAGGATAACTTATCGGTAAGTGGAGGGGGCTGAAGGGTAAGGACTAGATCAGAGGAGGGGGCTGAAGGATAAGGACTAGGTAAGAGGGGGTAGAAGGAGTAGGAGTAGGTAGTTAGGAGGAAGGAGGAGGGACCTGACTGTGTTTGCTCATTTCTGACTAGTTTTTAGCATGTTACTTTCCGTTTGTATGCTGCCCTGTTCTGGAATCATCTATGAACCCTTTCTGTTTTTTTTTTTTTGGCACAAAAATCTCCAACAAAAAAACGGCCGAAATTTTGAAAAAACAGCGTAAAAAACGAGCGTTTTAAACGGAGCGTATTTTACCCCAACCGAAATTTTGAACCTTGCCTCCGACTTCCCCACCTTCCACCCTCATCCCCCTCCCTTTAACCCACACTCCTTCCCGCCCCTTTTCCGCCCTCCCCCCTCCAGTGCGCGCCCGCCCATCAATTTCCATCCGCGTCCCCCCCAAGCGCCCATCCGACTTCCCCTCCTTCCTCGCCCGCGCCGGCCCCGCCCTCTCCGCCCTCACCATCCTCCCCACCGCTCAGCTCCCTGCCACGTGTCTCACCCTTATTGGCCAGCACTGCCCGGGGCTAGTTACCCTGAATTTGACGGACCAGAAGGGGGTGACGGATGCGGTGTTGGCAGCGGTAGGGGGAGGTTGTGTAGGGTTGAAGACTCTCAAGGTGAAGGTGCATCATGGGAAGCTGAGTCAAGGACTAGAGGCCATTGCTGCCAACTGCAGAATGCTAGAGACGCTCTCTCTCCCCACTCAGGTGAGTTTCCAGCCATCTTTTCAGCTCTCTCTTTTACTCTCTCACATCCGTTGGGCTGAGGACTCTCAAGGTGAAGTGAAGGTGCCTCAGTGGCGGCTGAGTCAAGGGGTTGGCGGCTGAGTCAAGGGGTTGGTGGCTGTGGTTGCTCCCTCGCTCTCTACTGGATCTTCTTTTCTCTCTACTCCCTCTCCTCCTTGCGTCGTATCACTCACCTCTCCTCGACGTGTCCTCCTGACCTGATCGACCCAGAGCATCAAATCGCAGAGTCGGTCGCCTAATTCTATTTTCTGATACCCACACATTCACCTGCATCCATTCTCCATACCTGCGTTCAGGTTCGGGAGTCGAGCCTCGGGCCGCTCCTCTCCTCCTTCCCGCACCTAGCTCGTCTGGACCTGAGTTGGAGCACCAAGCTCGCAGACCCTGCCTTTGCCACCATCGCCTCCTGCTGCCCCCGTCTCCAGCACCTCGACGCCTCCTTCTCCCAGGTGAGGCTTTATATATCTATATGGAAAAACATGAGACATGCACACATGCGTTCACCGCCCTGCCTTCACCACCATCGCCGCCTCCAGCACCTCGACGCCTCCTTCTCCCAGGTGAGGATCTATATATCTAAATGTGTAGGTATGGAAATCATGAGACATTCACACACGCTAACAGACCCTGCCTTCGCCACCATCGCCTCCTGCTGCCCTCGCCTCATGCACCTAGATGCCTCCTTCTCCCAGGTGAGCATTCTTGGGGGGATGTGTGCACACATGCAGTCTTTTCAAGCATAACCAGGTACAAGCACGCACCCATGTGCTCGCAGACCCTGCCTTCGCCACCATCGCCGCCTGCTGCCCCCGTCTCCAGCATCTCGACGCTTCCTTCTCCCAGGTGAGCATTTGTCAGGGGGCATGCAGGCCGCATGCATCCATGCTTAATTAAGCAAGTCCATTTCTTTCAAACATGTGCATGTTCACCAACCTTGATCTGAGTTGGAGCACCAAGCTCGCAGACCCTGCCTTTGCCACCATTGCCGCCTGCTGCCCGCGCCTCATGCATCTAGATGCCTCCTTCTCCCAGGTGAGCATTCTTAGGGAGATGTGTGCACACATGTGGTCATTTCAAATTTAACCAGGCGACACAAACATGCACACATATGTGCTCGCTGACCCTGCCTTTGCCACCATCGTCTCCTCTTGCCCGTGCCTCATGCACCTCGACGCATCATTCTCCCAGGTCACCATTCTGGTTTGTTCTCAATCCATACCTTTTGAAGTGATTTCCCTCACTGGCCTGCCTTTGCCACCATCGTCTCCTCTTGCCCGTGCCTCATGCACCTCGACGCATCATTCGCCCAGGGCACCATTCTTCAAAGGAGGGGGGAATGTGCAGTGCACACAAGCAATCTTCTCGATTACCATCATGTAAACTACCCCCCGTGATGACACCCTCCCCCTCACCCACCCCACACAGATCTCCCACTTGGGTCTCGCCTCCCTCGCCGCCCACTGTCCCGCCCTCTCCTCCCTGCGCCTCAACGCCTGCCACGCTGTCCGCCCACCCCTCTGCCTCCCTGTCCTCGCCCGCCTCCCCTCCCTGCGATCCCTCGACCTCGGCCAAAGCCCCCTGCTGGTGCAGTGGATGGCTGTTGCTGCTGCTGCTGCTGCTGTGTGCTCACATATTTGTGCTTTTGTGTTTGTGCCAACCCCCATTCCGACCAGATCTCTCACATAGGCCTCGCCTACCTAGCTGCTCACTGTCCCGCTCTCTCCTCCCTCCGCCTCAACGCCTGCCACGCTGTCCGCCCACCCCTCTGCCTCCCCGTTCTCGCCCGCCTCCCCTCCCTGCAATCCCTCGACCTCGGCCAAAACCCCCTGCTTCCTGACTGGATAGAGGGAATTATATCGCTACAGGCCGGGGTATGTGGAGGGAAGGATGGGTCAGGAGGGAAGGATAGGGCAGGGGCAGCCGCAGGGACTACTCGCCTTGCTGGTTTTCCTCGCTCTGCTTCCGCTCCTGCTGCTGCTTTGACTGCTGCTACTCCTGCTTCTGCTTCTACTGCTGCTGCTGCTGCTGCTGCTGCTGCTGCTGCTGGAGCAGCTTCGTCTGCTCAGCTGCTACCCGCTCTCCGAATGCTCACTGCCTACTTCCAGGCCAACCAAACCATCCGTGCCACGTGGATCGAAAGGTGAGCACCTTTTGAGATGAGACCACTCAAAGCTATGTAGATTGAAGCGCCCACTATGCAGATAATTCCACCAGACCGTATGAAGTGGTGCAGTGACTTTTGAGTCGACTCAAAAGCGCCCCGCCCACTGTGCAGTTAATTCTACCAGACCATATGAAGTGATGCAGGTCTTTTTAGAGCCGACTAATCAATCCTGGAGGCTTTTTTGTCTCTCTCTCCCGACCCCTGCCTCTCCCTACCCTTGCAGTCTCACTCTCGCCTGTCCCGCTCTCCGCCGCATCAACTTCGGCACCACGTCACGCATCCTCCTCTCCCCCACTCCCTCCTCCACCACCACCACACTAATCAGCTTCTCATCTTCTCCTACCCGCCCCCCCCACCCCTGCAGTCTCACTCTCGTCTGTCCCTCTCTCCGCCGCATAAACTTCGGCACCACATCCCGCATCCTCCTCTCCCCCACTCCCTCTAACACCAACGCACCACTCACCACGAGCAGCAGCAGCAGCAGCGCTGTCAACGCTGTGAACGCCCTCCCTGGCGCTCCCACCAGCACGCCCTCTCCTTCCTCTCACAGACGAATCCTGACGCCCAGAAGCCCCGGCATCTTCTCTCGCCTTGTAGCCCTTGCTTCTCCTCGCGCCAAACTCCCCGAAGGGTCCACAGGGACTTCACCTGGAGGGCTTTCTGGTGCACTGGCAGCAGCAGCACCATCACTGGCAGCAGCACCATCACTGGCAGCAGCACCATCACTGGCAGCAGCACCATCACCGGCAGCAGCACCATCACTGGCAGCAGCTGCTACTGCTCCGAGCGAAATCACTGCTGCTTCTCCTGTTCCTCCTCCCACTACTGCCCCTGCTCCTCCCACTACCTCTCCTTCAGCCACCGCCGCCACTCCTGCCACTGCCTCGGCTCACACTCCTCCTAGAACCCCCGGCCATGCTGTGCCACCGCTCGAGTCCCTCGTGCTGCCGTGCTTCGGAATGTCAGACACAGTAATTTCCTCCATTGCTTCCGCCTGCCCCAGCCTCACGTCTCTCCGCTTTGATCCTGGTTCCAAAAAGCGCTACGCGAAGATTCTCGGAATGTTCCAAGTCGCTGGCGCGCCAGATGTGAGTGGCTCTGCTTGCAGGCTTCTCGGAAGGTTCCAAGCTCATGGGAGTTTGTGGCTCACCCCCCCATACACCTGCAGTCTGACAATTTCTGTCATGTTAATCCAGTCTTTCTTCGCGCTTCTCCCCATCCTCCAAATCAGTTGCTATTTACAGCCACTTCCTCCCCATAACCTCCCCTCCCTCCCCCTCACCTACCTTCGCCCACATCCGCACTCCTATTTTGTTCCCTTGTGCCCTCCCTCCCTCCTCCCCCCCCCCCCCCCCCCCCCCGCTGTCCCCCGCTCTCCCCCGCACTGTAGATTGACTGCACCGTGACAGATGCTTCGCTCCAATCGAGGTTTGAAGTGTCTCAAAAACCAAGGAGTGCTTTCGAGTGCCCTCCCCCCCCCCTCCCTTCCCTCTCTCCCCCTCCCCCACTCTCCCCCGCACCTTAGATCGACTGCACCGTGACAGACGCTTCGCTCCAATCGCTGGCCGCCAGCTGTCCGTCGCTCTCAGAGCTCCACCTCTTCTCAGACTACCTTCTGGGCACCCGTCTCTCGTCCCACTCCCCCGCTGTACCTACTTCCACTCCCCTCTCGCCCCCTCCTTCTCCTCTTCTCACTCGCAATCCTCCTCCTTCCTCCTCCTCCTCCTCCTCCCTATCCCCTCTTCGCGATCACAATGCATCTCCATCCTCCTCCTCACTATCCTCCTCCCCTTCCTCCTCTCCTCTTCCCTCCAAGCCCCCCTACCGCTTCCTCTCCCTCAAGGTTCTCTCTATCACCAGCTGTTCTCTCGCTGACCCGGGCGTTGCCTGCATCGTCACTGCCTGCCCCAACCTCCTGAAACTGCTGCTGCGCGATTGCATACAGGTGAATCAGCAACTCTCTGACTTCCCCCTTCTCGCTGACTCAGCAGCTCTCTCTGCCCTCACGTTCTCGCTCTGTCCGCTCTCGCCGTCTCTGCTCCCTGATTCTGCCCTAAATGTTGCTGCATTTCTGCCCTAAATGTTACTGCATCTCTGCCACTGGCAGGTTACCGAGGCAAGTGTAAGCAGTGCAGCCAAGGCGTGCAAAAGGCTTCAACTGCTGGACGTGTCTGGCTGCACCAGATGAACGTCAAGCAGGCTGTTAACCTCTGCTCTTTCTCTCCCACTCTGCTCCCTGATTCTGCTCAACTGGTGTCTATGCCATTGGCAGGTTACCGAAGCAAGTGTAAGCAGTGCAGTGAAGGCATGCAAGAAGCTTCAACTGTTGGACATTTCTGGCTGCACCAGAGTGAACCTGAAGCAGGCTGCTAAGGTAGTGGCAGCTAGACCGCGGCTGGCACTTGTAACGGTTAGAAAGGACTCGGATTAACCAAGTGATGTACAGTAAAGTTGACATGACTCCCCTAAACTGTTTGCTAACCGACTGATTGGAAGCAGGGAGAGTGCTTGTAATGGTTAGGTGATGTGAACCTCAAGCAGGCTGCTAAGGTGGAAGCAGGTAGAGTGCTTGTAATGGTTACCTAGGTTAGGAAGGATTTGGATTGACACTCTGACTGCACATGACTGCAACCCAGGAATTTTGTGTGCCCACAGGTACTCTGATGATTGACAAGTGAATTTGAATCCAATCATGTTAATACAACAGAAAGCAATCGTGGTGTACCAAATTTAGGATAGGAAGCCAACAGTTTTACAGTTCCCAATGTGTAATGATGGGACGCACCCATACCATTTCCCTCCATTACCCCAAGCAGTCCCAGTCTCTCTACCTCCAAGGGATGATGAACAGTACGATATTAATCTATTAACAACCCCCCCTGTATCTAGATTGAGATGGCGAGGTCCTTCACCCAGGGATCAAGCGGCTTGCCAATCGAGTACACGATAAAACCAATCTTCCTCAGCGCCTCCACGTCCAGAACGTTCCTTCCGTCGAAGATAAACGCGGGCTTTTGCATGCCGTCGTACAGCTTCTGGTAATCCAGCGTCTTGAACTCGTCCCACTCGGTGACCACGGCGATGCACGACGCGTCCTTGGCTGCCTCATAGGGAGATGCGTCCACGGTGACGCGTGAGGAGGCGTCCATGGAGGTGGGCGACTGCATCGGGAGTGGGTGGTCCCACTCGAACTTGCCCGTGCCCAGATCCCGCCGAATCTGCTCCTCACTGCAGTGGGGTTGTGAGTGTGGGAGAGGGGTTGGTAGGGGTTGAGAGGGGTTAGGAAAGGATGGTGAGGACGCGTCCATGGAGGTGGGCAACTGCTTTGGGAGTGGGTGGTCCCAATGCACGAACACTTCTTGACAAACCCTGTCCCCAAACCCTGCTAAACCCAGAACAGCAGACTGAGGGCAGTGGCTGTTGACTGAGGGCGGTGGCTGTTGACTGAGGGCGGTGGCTGTTGACTGAGGGCGGTGGCTGTTGACTGAGGGCGGTGGCTGTTGACTGAGGGCGGGGACTGTTGACTAAGGGCGGGGGCTCTTCAATAAGCTGTTGACGGAAGGGGGGGGCCTGTTAAAGGGGCAAGTGAGGGGTGGGGGGGTGTTGACTGGGGGTGTGGGGGGGTGCGTTAACAGGTGGGAGGTGGCGTTGACTGAGGGATGGGAGGAATGTTGACTGAGGGATGGGAGGGATGTTGTCTGAGGGGTGGGATGGCGTTGACTGAGGGATGGGAGGCGTATGTGACTCCGACCCAGCAGGCGATTCCTCAACGATTCGGTACGAATGCAACCTCCCAGGCATACGTCGCTGCCGCCCTCCTCAACTCGCTACGTACGTGACTTCAGGCACGCCCCACACTTATCAGCTCGCTACGTACGTGACTTTGGGGTCGTAGATGTGGAGGTACGCGCGGTCGTTGAGCAGCCCGTGGCACACGTCGATGGCGGGCGTCTCTACGTGGGTGACTAGAGAGACTCCCGTGACTTCAAGCACACCCATCAATTATCAGGTGGCTACGTACGTGACTTCAGGCACGCCCCACACTTATCAGCTCGCTACGTACGTGACTTCGGGGTCGTAGATGTGGAGGTACGCGCGGTCGTTGAGCAGCCCGTGGCACACGTCGATGGCGGGCGTTTCGCGGGTGTCGCCGGTGTCCTTCTTGAAGGCGAACCCGAAGATGGCGATCTTTTTGCCCGACACCGTGTTGAACATGGACGACACGATCCTCTGCACAGGGCGGGGATAAGACAAAGGAGCCAGTATGAGATAAGATCAGATAGCGATCTTCTTGCCCGACACTGTGTTGAACATGGACGACAGGATTATCTGCACGGGATAGCGGGAAAGACATGAAAGTTACATTTTGACTATCAGGGAACGTTCAGCACAACACAGCACACACATGCATCGGACTCTTCAGCCACAAGGCAGAGGGACTAGATACTCCGATTATTACACATTCTCAATGGGATAGAAGTCACCTTCACTGTACGCGAGGATGAAACCATGAACGCACCTTGACGAAGCGGTTCTTCTGGTAGTCGTTGATGTCGATCACCTGCTGCCAGTACTTGGCGCACTCCAAAAGCCCATTGCACTCGCAGATGTACACAAGGTTCAGAATATCCTGAAACACGGCATCAAAGAGAAAGAAAATAAACAAAAACACGAACCGTTAGACACTTGGGGGCAATAACACCACTGACTGGCTGGCACAAGTACTGCCGTCAGGATCATCAGCAAGTTCTCATTAGAGCACTTACCTTCTGAAAGCAGGAGCCACCAAAGCCAACGCTGGATTGGAGGAAGCGCCTGCCAATGCGAGTGTCCTTGCCGATAGCGAAGGCCACTTCCGACACGTTGGCACCCGTTGACTGCAGATAGGCAAATCAATGAGGGGTATGAGCTGGAGTAATGCTACGAAAAGCACGGTCGAGACAAAGCCATGGCAGTGGCAAGGAATAATTCTGAGAGCCACGGAGGGTGTGAAAAGGCCAGGTTGTAGCGGCGCATACCTCGCACAAGGCAGAGATAGCGTTGATGGAGGAGATTCTTTGCGCCAGGAACGCGTTGGCTGCGAGTTTTGACAGCTCGGCAGACCAGAGGTTGGTGGTGAGAATGTTTTCATCAGGCACCCAGTTGGCGTAGACTGACTTCAGCGTGGCCATGGCCTTGCGACCAGAATCTGTCTCCTGACCACCTGTGGGAGAAAACGATGCAAGTTGCAAAAGAATCAGTGCTGCTCCTTTGGGGGGGGCTCAATTCGTTTGTGTTTGTAACTTGTGTTCGTTATCTAAAATTTGTTTCGCGGCATTTGATGGACGAAAGCTTGAGGGTTACAGTGCCTTAAAACTAAAAGGAGCGGGAAGGAACTGCTTACCGATGAGGACGCGATCAGGCTTCTGCAGATCATCCATGGCGGTTCCTTCAGCAAGGAACTCTGGGTTTGACAGGATCTGCCCATTTCAATACGAACGGTCACGAAGGATTCTCACACATCAGAAACGATTCCCGATGGCTCGTTGATCACAACTTCAGAGATTGAAAAAAAAAAAAATAGCTTACATCAAATTGGACACCACTCTTGGTGTGTGTCAGAATCTTCTCAATGGCTTCTGCGGTCTTCACAGGAACTGTTGACTTCTCCACAACCTGAGATTCACGCGGGGAGAAACATTTTTAGTTAATGAGCCACTTTGCGCTAATTTGTCTTGACCAGACGAAGCTTAAAACAGCAATTCATGTTTTCCCCTCCCGGAGACGTACAATCTTGGGAGAGTTTGAAACATCTGCGATCATGCGGGCGGCGCTCTCCCAGTATGTCAAATCGGCGGCCTTTCCGGCTCCTAGACCCTGTAACCACCAATTACGTAAGTGAGAAAACGACAAAATAATTTCCTCAATGCAAAACGAGGAAAGCGAGGATCTATAACCAAGAACAATGCACCGAAAGACCAGTTGCACGTACCCTGGTCTTTGTGGGGGTGTTGACGCTGACAAAGATGATATCACACAGAGCCACATACTTCTGGACTTCCGTGCTGAAGAACAAGTTCCTCCCTCGGCATTCCTTGACCTGCGATCCAGCATCCAGAGAGTCGGTAAATAAACTGCCGAGTTGACCAAGGCTCGATCACGCTTGGCACGACGCCGAAGGTGAAATATAGATAGGGAGGCGATCGCTGAGTAGGGACTTACAACATCGTCGAGGCCTGGTTCGTAGATAGGGAGGCGATCGCTGTTCCAAGCGGCAATGCGAGGCTTGCTAATGTCGACGACGTACACCTGAAGGGGTACGACAGAGGACAGAATCTCTTAAATCTGACATGAATACGCTGCTGCTGACGGTCGATCAACATAGAAGAAACTGCAGAAGGGTAATCGGCAACGGAATTTTTGCAGCAGCGACTACAGGGAAAGCGATCGTCGCGCGTACCTCGATGTGGGGACACTTCAAGGCGATCATCGCCATGGTGGGACCGCCGACATAGCCGGCACCAATACAGCAGATCTTCACCATCTTGGCGTGTGAGTCAATGCGTAAGGCAACCGGAGGAAGAGGGAGTTAACTCGACTCACGATGCCAAGATAGTGTGTCGATCGAGTCTCAAGCAACAATATACAGCCTTGCTGGTGTGGAACTTAGACGTGGAAATCTAGACTTGAGAGTCAATCTCAAGTTTCAGCTGACATTTGAAGATGCCATCAATTAGGAGATTTCTGGGTGAAAGTTGGTTGGTGAGAGGGAGGGAGGAAGAAAGGTGGAGGGGAGGGGGGGAGGTTTGGTTAGGCGGACTGGGCAGGTTCGGGCGTCCTCGAAAACATCAGCAACCTAGCCGGATGGACGTTGGTCAGCCTGCTGCAGGGTGTTTTTTTGGTTCGCCCGAACCTGCCCATCGGGATCTCCTGAACTCCACCAACTCAGCACTCCAGTCGCAGGCGTGCTTTGTTGGCACATCGTGGTGTCATCTTAGCTCCCGCCAAGATCCGACGGCTGGTAAACTTTCGAGAGCTGTGTCGGCCGTTGGGGCTGCCCCGGGAACTGGGACACGTGAGTCGTAACCGATGGGATCCCCGCGCGTCGAGATTGGTGGCACCTGAACGAAACGCGGTGCGTTAGGCGACAGTGGAATGTCGTTACAGCCAATTGGACTCTTCGCGTTCGGGTTTCGTGGAACCGAACCACAGCAACCCCAGGCGAAAGGACAGCCACAACTTTTTTCCCCGTCGGTTTCGCAGCTTGAAACGAAATGACCTGTTCCCAGGAACCTTTCCAGTCACCAATGCCATAATAAATCGAGCACCAAGTAAACGCTTATTCATCAAATAGAACAAGCCGGAATGGCATTCTCTGTAGCAAGTACGATGAAGATTTATCTCTACAGTAAATTCACGTCTCCAGGTGAGTGTAATTCTCACCTCTCGAGTTATGCGCAGGACTCATAACGAGCTAAAGAATAACAATTTTGTGGCGGCCATCCTGCCGCCATGGCTGCGCGTAAAGCCGCTAATTCGACCACCGGCGCGCGCCTTCACTCATCTTTCATCCGCCGCGCGCGCGCTTTCACCCCAACCGACGTTGTTTCACCACATTGTCCGTCAACCGCGATCCCGTCATCCGCGAAAGATTTGCTACACTCACCGATTCTCACTCAATCCCCACCGTTAGAGTCGTCGGCGGCTCCGATCTGTGATAAAAGCGGTTTCCGGATCTTCTGTAAGGACACGTGGCAGCACGCGGTTGGGGAGTCTGCCATCAGGCGGAACGCGCCTTTCCAGCCATCAGGCGCGCACCGAATTCAGTGGGGAGCCCTTCTGAGCAACCACAGTATCGCAACTGCTACAAACGAAAAGCACAGATTAGGCTCGTGCGACGACAGGGATTACCGTAGCCGTTTTAGCAATAGTGATAGAAGTAGAATAGGTAGGAGCATTGACGCCGACATTGGTGGTACAAATAGTATTAGGAACAATCTATTAGGTTCTGAGAGTCTAGGCAGGATAACGGTCGAAAGCAGCAGCATCATTAACAGCAGAATTAGTAGCAGCAGCAGCAGCAGCAGCAGCAGCAGCGGTATCAGAATTCGCAGTTTCAGTGGCGACGCTAGCAGCAATAATGCCAATATCCCCAGCACCAGCGGCGCTACCACCCCTAGCAGCGCCGGCACTAGCAGCACCAGCAGCAGCACCAGCAGCACCACCACCAGCAGCAGCAATAGCAGCAGCAGCAGCAGCAGCACGAGCGGTGGCAGCGGGAGGCACGACAAACCCCCAATAAACCTGTCCGCCTTCCCGCCAGATCGGATTCGGAACTTCTCCATCGTTGCCCACGTGGACCATGGGAAATCCACGCTGGCGGACCGCCTGCTGGAGCTGACAGGCACGCTCACGCCCAGCGACACCAAGGGGCAGGCGCGACCACAATATCTGGACAAGCTGCAGGTGGGCTTTAAGCATCTGAAAGAGCGACAGGTGAGCTGTAAACACCATGTGTGATAGCCGCCTGCTGGAGCTGACAGGCGCGCTCACGCCCAGCGACACCAAGGGGCAGGCACGCCCACAATATCTGGACAAGCTGCAGGTGGGCTTGAAAAGTTACAGGTGGAAATGTAAATTGCAAATGTGAGCATTTTACTGTCGAGGATCGCCTGCTGGGGCTGACAGGTGCGCTCACGCCCAGTGACACCAAGGGGCAGGCGCGGCCACAATATCTGGACAAGTTGCAGGTGGGCTTTAAGCATCTGAAAGAGCGACAGGTGGGCTTTAAACACCATGTGTGATAGCCGCCTGCTGGAGCTGACAGGCGCGCTCACGCCCAGCGACACCAAGGGGCAGGCGCGCCCGCAGCAGTACCTGGACAAGCTGCAGGTGGGCTTTAAGGGGTTTTGAGTACTTGGACAAGCTGCAGGTGGGCTTTAAGAGGTTTTCGGTACCTGGACAATCTGCAGGTGGGCTTTAAGGGGATTTGAGTACCTGGACCAGCTGCAGGTGGGTTTAGCCTTTAGGTGTCTTCAAATATCTGCATTTCTATCTTCTCTTTACCCACCTTTGCCCACCTTCATCCATCCTTCCGGGCTTGCCCACTCTTCCATCCCTTCAGGTGGAGAGGGAGCGAGGCATCACAGTGAAGGCACAGACCGCCACCATGCTCTATGACTATGTGCCACCCACACCCACTGGTGAAGACCAGTCTGGTGGTGCCCCTGATCGCACCGTGACAGGCCAGTGTGGTGCGTCAGACCCATCCACCCCCCCTCCCGGGCGGTAGTACCTGCTGAACCTGATTGACACGCCTGGCCACGTGGACTTCAGCTACGAGGTGTCTCGCTCGCTGCGTCTCGATTCAACACTTGCACCTGTACCACCTTCACTCCCCCCGACTTCTATGCCATCAGGTGGAGAGGGAGCGAGGCATCACAGTGAAGGCACAGACCGCCACCATGCTCTATGACTATGTGCCACCCACACCCACTGGTGAAGACCAGTCTGGTGGTGCCCCTGATTGCACAGCAACAGGAAGCCAGTCTGGTCCCGGTCCCCCTCCCGGGAGGTACCTGCTGAACCTGATAGACACGCCCGGCCACGTGGACTTCAGCTACGAGGTGTCTCGCTCGCTGGCCGCCACGCAGGGCGTGCTGCTGCTGCTGCTGCTGGTGCTGGCCCTGGTGCTGCTGCTGGTGCGTGGGCGTCTCAAGACTTGTACTACCTTCATTCCCTCTCCTTCCATCCCTTCAGGTGGAGAGGGAGCGAGGCATCACCGTGAAGGCACAGACCGCCACCATGCTCTACGACTACGTGCCACCCACACTGACTGATGGGGACCAGTCTGGTCCAGGTCCCCCTCCCGGGCGGTACCTGCTGAATCTGATTGACACGCCCGGCCACGTGGACTTCAGCTACGAGGTGTCTCGCTCGCTGGCCGCCACGCAGGGCGTGCTGCTGCTGGTGGACGCGCAGCAGGGCATTCAGGCGCAGACCGTCGCCACTTTCTTCCTTGCTCTGGAAGGAGATCTGGCGATCGTGCCGGTGGTGAACAAGATTGACAGACCCGATGCTGAGCCGCAAGGTGCGTCGATGTCTAGGGCTGGTGCTGGCTAGGCGGGGGGTTCTGGTGTTGGTGCTGCTGTTGTGGGTGCTATTGCTGCTGCTGCTGCTGCTGGTTCTGGTGGGACTGGCCGCCACGCAGGGCGTGCTGTTGCTGGTGGACGCGCAGGAGGGCATCCAGGCGCAGACCGTCGCTAACTTCTTCCTGGCTCTCGAGGGGGACTTGGCGATCGTACCCGTGGTGAATAAGATTGACAGACCCGACGCCGACCCTGAAGGTGCGTCGGCTTTTAGGGCATGTGCTGGCTTGGCCGGGGGTTCTAGTGCTGGCGCTGGTGCTGGTGTTGCTGCTGCTGCTCCTGCCTCTTCACTTCCGCCTCGCCTGTCCCTTGTGTTGACCCTCCATCTCACCCCCATCATTTCTCCCCCCACCCGTGCAGCCATCCGTTGCCTCTCAGGTCTCGAGCACCTTCGATTCAACCTGCCTCTCGCCTGCTGCCTCTTCACCTCAGCCCGCACTCTCCCTTTCATTGTTCCTCCACTCCCCCCATTCCCTCTCTCAGCTGTCGCTGCCCAAATTGCCTCCACCTTCGACCTACCCCTTACCTCCTGCCTCTTCACCTCAGCCCGCACGGGAGCCGGCCTCCCTTTGCTGCTCTCACACACCCTTTTCGTCTCCCTCCCATCCTCTCCCCCTCTTTTCCCCTCACCAACCTCCCTCCCCTCGTGTGCCAGCCGTTGCCTCTCAAATCGCCTCCACCTTCGACCTGCCGCTCACCTCCTGCCTCTTCACCTCGGCCTCAATTCTCCCCCCTCTCCTTGTTCCCCTACTCCCCCCTCTCCTGCTCCCCCTCGCAGCTGTCGCCTCTCAAATCGCCTCCACCTTCGACCTACCTCGCGCCTCCTGCCGCTTCACCTCAGCGCGCACGGGAGCCGGCCCGCCTTCCCTTCTCTCACACACCCTTTTCGTCCCCCTTCCACCCGCTCCTTCCCCACACCAGTTGTCGCCTCTCAAATCGCCTCCACCTTCGACCTGCCCCTCACCTCCTGCCTCTTCACCTCGGCCCGCACGGGCGCCGGCCTCCCCTCCCTTCTCTCCGCCATCGTGCGCCAGATACCACCTCCCCCAGGCGACCCTGCCGCGCCGCTGCGCGCGCTGCTATTGGACGCGCACTTTGACGAGTACAGGGGCGTGGTGTGCCACGTGGCAGTGGTTGATGGGGCGATCAGGGAGGGCGAGAAGGTGGCGGTGGCAGGGATGGGGATGAGCTATGACGTGGGGGAGGTGGGGGTCATGTACCCTGAGGCAACGCCTACAGGCTGTCTTCTTACCGGCCAGGTTAGTCTGAGCAGGCTGTCTAAAGGCTGTTTAAAGGCCGTTTAAAGGCCAGTGCAAGCATGGGAGGGCGAGAAGGTGGCGGTGGCAGGGATGGGGATGAGCTATGACGTGGGGGAGGTGGGGGTCATGTACCCTGAGGCAACGCCTACAGGCTGTCTTCTTACCGGCCAGGTTAGTCTGAGCAGGCTGTCTAAAGGCTGTTTAAAGGCCGTTTAAAGGCCAGTGCAAGCATGGGAGGGCGAGAAGGTGGCGGTGGCAGGGATGGGGATGAGCTATGGCGTGGGGGAGGTGGGGGTCATGTACCCCGAGGCTACTCCTACCGGCTGCCTACTTACTGGCCAGGTGAGTGGGGGGATGAATGTGTGTGTGCGTGTGTATATGGGCGGGTGGCGGTGGCAGGCATGGGGATGAGCTATGACGTGGGGGAGGTGGGTGGGGGTCATGTACCCCGAGGCAACACCCACAGGGTGTCTGCTTACTGGCCAGGTGAGTGTGAGAAGGCTTGTTTAAGTTCCGGTGCATGCCCGGGAGGGGGAGCGGGTGGCGGTGGCAGGGATGGGGATGAGCTACGACGTGGGGGAGGTGGGGGTCATGTATCCCGAGGCTACTCCCACAGGGTGCCTGCTAACCAGTCAAGTGAGTCTGAGAGTAGGCTACTATGAGTTCCAGTGCATGCATGGGAGGGGGAGCGGGTGGCGGTGGCAGGGATGGGGATGAGCTACGACGTGGGGGAGGTGGGGGTCATGTATCCCGAGGCTACTCCCACTGGGTGTCTGCTTACTGGCCAGGTGAGTGTGAGAAGGCTTGTTTGAGTTCCGGTGCATGCCAGGGAGGGAGAGAGGGTGGCGGTGGCAGGGATGGGGATGAGCTACGACGTGGGGAGGACTTGGACAACAAGGGAGGCAAGGGTAGGCGACACGATTCACCACCATAAGACGCTGGTCTCGCCCCTAACGGGCTGAATTGAGTCCCCCCATCCCTTCATCCAAGCAGGTGGGGTACGTGATGGTGGGCATGCGAACAACGCGAGAGGCAAGGGTAGGCGACACGTGTTCCTGGCCGACTTACATAGCCTCTCACCCCACCCCTTGCCCGCTGCGTATAGCAGGCGGCGCAGCACATGGTGTTTGCGGGGGTGTTCCCGGCCGAGTCACATAGCCTCTCCCCCTTCCCCCTGTCCTGTGACAGGTGGGGTATGTGATGCTGGGCTTGCGCACAACCCGAGAGGCAAGGGTGGGCGATACGATACACCACCATAAAGCCCAGGTTCCGCCCCTCCCGGGCTTCAGGGCGGCGCAGCACATGGTGTTTGCGGGGGTGTTCCCGGCCGAGTCACATAGCCTCTCCCCCGTCCCCCCGTGCTTGTGACAGGTGGGGTACGTGATGCTGGGCATGCGAACAACTCGAGAAGCACGCATAGGCGACACCATACACCATCACAAGGCGCAGGTCTCGCCCCTGCCGGGCTGAAATGAAACCATGCCCCTCCCATCACCCCCTTCTTCCAAGCAGGTGGGGTACGTGATGCTGGGCATGCGCACGACTCGAGAAGCACGCATAGGAGACACCATACACCACCATAAAGCCCTGGTCTCGCCCCTGCCGGGCTTCAGGGCGGCGCAGCACATGGTGTTTGCAGGGGTGTTCCCGGCCGATGGCTCTGACTTTGAGGCTCTGGCTAAAGCGGTTGACAAGCTGGTGTGTAACGATGCGAGCGTGGCCGTGACAAGATACAGCAGCGCTGCCCTGGGCGCTGGATTCAGGTAAGGGGGAGAGGGAAGGGCGAGGCGGGCTGGGAGGGAGCGCAGCACATGGTGTTTGCGGGGGTGTTCCCGGCCGATGGGTCTGACTTTGAGGCGCTGGCTAAAGCAGTGGATAAGCTGGTGTGCAACGATGCGAGCGTGGCCGTGACAAGATACAGCAGCGCTGCCCTGGGCGCTGGATTCAGGTGAGGGGGAGAGGGAAGGGCGAGGGGAGCTGGGAGGGAGCGCAGCACATGGTGTTTGCGGGGGTGTTCCCGGTCGATGGGTCTGACTTTGAGGCGCTGGCTAAAGCAGTGGATAAGCTCGTGTGCAACGATGCGAGCGTGGCAGTGACAAGATACAGCAGCGCTGCACTGGGCGCTGGATTCAGGTGAGGAGGGGAGAGGAGGGATTGCAGCATGTGGTGTGGTGGTGGTGTGTGCAACATACAGGCGCAGGCCAAGGCGGTGGACAAGCTGGTGTGCAACGATGCCAGCGTGGCCGTTATCCGCCACAGCAGCGCTGCCCTGGGCGCTGGATTCAGGTATTTGTTTGTGATAGGGTATTTTTGAGAATTTTAAGACAATCCCTGCAAAACAAAGGGGTAGGTGCCAGCATACAGGATCGGGCGAGCATCTGAGCATGGGATTGTGTGATGAACATGACAATATGTCTCATATCTGCCTTGCTGCTCCTTTACTTGGTTATTCCCCCTCCTTGCCAGGTGTGGCTTCCTGGGTCTGCTCCACATGGACGTGTTTCACCAGCGCCTGCAGCAGGAGTTATTTTCTGAACACTATGCAATGACTCCAATCCACCCAAGTGCTCTTGGCTTTGTCATTCATTGGCTTGCCTGCCAGGTGCGGCTTCCTGGGTCTGCTCCACATGGACGTGTTTCACCAGCGCCTGCAGCAGGAGTTTGGCGCCGAGGTTATTTCCACCGCTCCCTCCGTGCCGGCAATATTTGAATACGCCGATGGCACGTGAGTAACTGTGATGTGCCATGCCATGCCAAGCCATAGCGTGCCGTGCCATGCCATGCCGTGCCATGCCATGCCATCCTGTGCCATGCCGTGCCGTGCCATGCCGTGCCATGCCATGCCGTGCCGTGCCATGCCATGCCATGCCATGCCATTCCCATGCCCATGCCGTGCCCATGCCCATGCCCATGCCCTTTCCCCTTACTCTCTGTCTCTCCCTTCCCCCCCACCATCCAGTCGCATAGAAGCCCAGGGTCCGTCAGACATCCCATCCATCCCAACCCAAAGCCATTCCCCTCCTTTTTGCCTTCTTCTCTCCCCCCCTCTCTCCACCCCCTCTCTCCACCCCCCTTTCTTCTCCCCTTCCCCCCCACCATCCAGTCGCATAGAAGCCCAGGGCCCATCAGACATCCCATCTGTCCCGAAGCAGCGAGTGCTTCTCTTCTTTTTGTTCCTCCCACCTCCTCTCCCCACCCTCCGCCCTCGCCCTCTCCCTCCCCCCACCCATCCAGTCGCATAGAAGCCCAGGGCCCATCAGACATCCCATCCATCCCCAAGCAGCGAGTGGTTCGCTGCACCGAGCCCTTCGTGCTTGCCACCGTCGTCACGCCCTCCAAGTGAGTGTTTGAACACTTTCTCCCTCCAAGTGAGTGCCCCTCCAAGTGAGTGCCCCTCCAAGTGAGTGCCCCTCCAAGTGAGTGCCCCTCCAAGTGAGTGCCCTCCAAGTGAGTGCCCCTCCAAGTGAGTGCCCCTCCAAGTGAGTGCCCCTTTCAAGGCAGAAATTCTCTCCTGCTTTTCCATCTGATTTGTCAGGGTTGAGCATTATACTCCAGTGCAGTGCCAACCCCAGTTCTTCTTCCTCCACGCCCCTTCTCCCCAGGCATGTGGGGCCAATCATGGAGCTCTGTGCGAGCAGGAGGGGCGAGCAGAAGGGGTCTTTCCCCCTAACTCGCGTTTGTTTCACCCAATCTCTGTACCCCACCCTCCCCCTCTCACTCCTCGCTCCCAGGTATGTGGGGCCAATCATGGAGCTCTGTGCGAGCAGGAGGGGCGAGCAGAAGGAGTGCTGCCAACCCGACTCGCTAGCGCGCTCCTTCCTATCCCCTCAATCCCCTCATCCCCTTCTCTCACCTCCTCCCCGTCCCTCACAGGTATGTGGGGCCAATCATGGAGCTCTGTGCGAGTAGGAGGGGCGAGCAGAAGGAATACTCGTTTATTGACGGGTGAGCGTGAGCCCAATAGTTCTTGCGTTGTTGAGGTTGCAGTTGCGGTTGCGAAGGACAAATGTGGGTGAAAGACACATGTTGCTTGGGGTTGGGGCAGATAGGCCATGCTACTACGGTATGACATGCTGTAGAAGCTGTGATGGACTTTTCACAACCACTTAAAGAGCGTGTTTTGAGTCGACTCAAAGGGCAGATAGGCCATGCTACTACGGTATGACATGCTGTAGAAGCTATGATGGACTTTTCACAACCACCTAAAGAGCGTGTTTTCCATGACTGCCCTTTTTTTGCGTGCTGTTGCAGCGACCGAGCCATGCTGAGGTACGACATGCCAGTGAGGGAAGTGGTGAAGAACTTCTAAAGCCCTCAAGAGCATCTCGTCTCCCCACCCTACCAACGTGTGTTGCCCTATATCCCCCCCAACCCAACACTCGTTGTTGCCTCTCTCTCACCCGTCCCTGCAGTGATCGAGCCATGCTGAGGTACGACATGCCAGTGCGGGAGGTGGTGATGGATTTCTACAGCCACCTCAAGAGCATCTCAGATGTGTGTTTCCCATGACTGTTAATCTTTTACATGCCATTGCAGCGACCGGGCGATGCTGAGGTACGACATGCCAGTGAGGGAGGTGGTGATGGATTTCTACAGCCACCTCAAGAGCATCTCGTCGGGCTTTGCCACATTCGACTATGAAGATGCCGGGTGAGGGTGGGATCTGGTGGAGGTGGGATCTGGTGGAGGTGGATGTGCTGCTGACCAACCTCTGAATGAAGTAAATGCGTCATAAAAGTCTTCCGTACACCCATTGCCAATCTTCTTCCGTTTGTCCCAGCATGAGGGAGGCGGATCTGGTGAAGGTGGATGTGATGCTGAACGGCAAGCCAGTGGACGCACTGGCAGCCATCGCCCACAGGGAGGCAGCGCAGCGCATGGGGAGGAAATTGGTGGAGCGGCTGAAAGGGGTGCTCGACAGGTGGGTTTGGAACGGTTGAAAGGGTTTTGTAATGGTCCCCTCAGGTATTGCCAGCCATTGCCACCAGAGAGGTGGTGCAGCTGAGGATAGGGAAGGAAGATGGTGGAGACACTCAAAGTGCTTCTGAACAGGTGGGTCTGAAGCACAACAATGAGTGCAACAGCATTTGGCTGTTTTCCTTCTTTGTCAAAATACGTGGCTGGCGTTTCATGTGGATATGATTCAGAATATACTGGTATTTTTTCTTCTTCTTTTTTTTCTTTTTAGACACCGTCTTTCTCCCACGACCTTGCTCCCTGTGTTGCACCCATATATGTGTGCTTGCCGAACTGTTGTATGCACACAGGCAAATGTTTGAGGTGGTTATCCAAGCTGCTATCGGCGCCAAAGTGATCGCAAGTGAAAAGTGAGTGGAAGTATCGTAGGAGCTTTGATCGCACGCTTGTCTACGAGATTGATTCTAATTGTGGAGAAATGCCTACGTGCTTTCCTTTCCTACCTTAAGTCTATTCGTGTCCTCTTGTGTCCTCCCGTTAGCTATGCTGGTCTTTTCAACCGCAACCTTTATTTCAGACAGGCTCACTGATATGTCTAACCTGCAATGTTGTATCACAAACAGGATTTCAGCGATGCGTAAAAACGTATTGGCGAAGTGTTACGGCGGGGATGTTTCCCGCAAGCGGAAGCTGCTGGAGAAGCAGAAAGAAGGGAAGAAGCGAATGAAGCGCGTTGGGTCCGTTGCGGACATCATGAGAATAATGAAATTGGCTTGTTTACCAAGAAAGTTGGGTATTCTTTTCTTACATGCTCAAATACTTCAGTGTAGCCGAACATGCTGCTCAAAAAACACAATCGAGGACGCTTAGGCCGCCTGATGCCGGTGGGGGTGGGTCATACAGGGGACGAACCGCTCTCAAAATTGACAACATCGTACTTCACTGTTTCTTACCGTACTGCAAAGAAGCTCTTTCATTACGCCGTGAAGCATTGCTTGTGTCTGCATTCCACCTGCCCCTTCACTTTGATTACCTCCCTAATCGCCAGCTCCCAACTCTCCCCATTGCCCCGCCTGCCATCATATCCCGTTCCACACCGCCATCCATCTCCTCGTTTTGGTGCTCCTACGAGACTCTCAGTAATCCTGCTTTTCAGTGAGATCACATAGCGGATCACTGGTTATTAAAGCGGACAATAGAACCCTATAAACGACCCTCGTGACCCTCGGACATTATTAAAGCGAGACATTACTGCCTCAAAATCACCTTATAACGCGGATTTCTCAGCTTTTTTTCCGAGCGGATCGATCATGGGATCGTCGTCTGTAATGGAGGAGGTGCGGAAGGTGATGGCGATGGTGACGGAGGGCAACGAGCAGCTGCAGCAGGCGCAGGAGCAGGCATCCGCCGCCATTCGCGAGACCACCGCGGCCGCGCGACAGCAGATGGCGGTCATGGAAGCCGCAGCGTCGGAACACCTGCAAGAAGCCAAGGTAGGCAGCTTATAACGCGTATGGATTGGGAGGATCAGGTTTCGGTCGCCATTCGCGATCATCGCGGCCGCTCAGCAGCAAATGGCGGTTATGGAAGCTGCAACGTCGGAACACCTGCAGGAAGCTAAGGTAGGCAGCTTATAACGCGTATGGATTGGGAGGATCAGGTTTCAGTCGCCATTCGCGATCACCGCGGCCGCTCAGCAGAAAATGGCGGTTATGGAAGCTGCAACGTCGGAACACCTGCAGGTAGCCAAGGTAGGCAGCTTATAACGCGTATGGATTGGGAGGATCAGGTTTCGGTCGCCATTCGCGATCACCGCGGCCGCTCAGCAGCAAATGGCGGTTATGGAAGCTGCAACGTCGGAACACCTGCAGGAAGCCAAGGTCACGCATATTGATGCAGGGGGAGGAGGCCGGTGGGGCTAGAACGGTTCAGCTACAGCGGATGGAGGCGCAGGTGGATACGCAGGTGGATACGCAGGTGCAGGGGCAGGTGCACGTGGATGGAAAGGAGCAGGAGTCAGCTACTCAGAGATCCTTGAAAACGAGGTCCTTTATCTTCGCTCTTTTTCCATCTTCGCCCTCGTCTCATGGTCGTTCTTTTCCCTTCTTTTCCCTTCCACTTTCCCCATGTTCTCTCTGTTTCAATCGTTGCTCTTTTCCTGCAGGCGTCCCTTGAGGTGGCTAGTGAGGTGTACACACAGTATGAGGATGTTTTCTTCCACCACCTCAAGAGTGAGTGAGTGAGTGAATGAGTGAGTGAGTGGGTGAGTGAGTGAGTGAGTGAATGAGTGAGTGAGTGAGTGAGTGGGTGAGTGAGTGAGTGAGTGAGTGAGTGACTGAATAAGTGAGTGAGTGGGTGAGTGAGTGAGTGAATGACTGAGGCGTGTACAAGTCACATTTGAAAAAACTCGAGAGTCAGTAATGATGTGTACACGCAACGTCTCGAAGTCGCGAGTACAATTCTCACAAGTGAGTGAGGCGTACACGCAGTGTGAGGGCGTGTTCTTCTTCCACCACCTCGAGAGTGAGTGAGCCTAGAGTCGTCTCCAAAGCAGCGGTACGCGTGAAGTAGTAAAGTCCAGCTCTCGACTCGCAGTGAGCCTTGAGTTGACTTGAGAGCAGCTCGTGTGGCATACACACAAAGCGAGGCATACACTCCAAAATTGTCTGCTCTGCCTGGGAAACATCATATGTATCTGGCTCATCTCAACTGTTTCTCTCACTTCTTACCATCCCGCATTCCCTCCTTTCGTTCTTATCTCCAGTGGGAGTCTATCTGGCCTCGGAGCATCGCGTTGCCTCGTCTGCAGCGCTGCTCTCTGCTCTCGCTTTCCTCCTTCCAGGTCAGTGCTTTTGCAGCGTTTTTCGGGCATATTAGTTCTTACCCAAAAAGCCCAGTTCCACAAAACAAGTTTCACGTGTCAACCAGTCTGCCCCAGCTCCACTGTGGTCGATCGAAACACTCCCCTTTCTATTCTACGCCTTTCTGCTGCCCCGCGACTCTCTTTCGGACTCTTTCTGTCCGTTTGACTCTCCTGCGAGATCTCCCTGTCTCGTCCTGTGCAGGGCCACGCAAGATGCTGTATCGTGCAACATTCGGCCGATTTCAAACCCCAGAGGTAAGTGCGCGCGTGCGCAGATGCATGGCTGCATGTGTACTTGTTGTTAGCATGGCTGGATGATATCGAAGGGTCCGTTCTCATGCATCTCAAATGTCCCTGCCATTTTCCCGTTCCCCTTCCCTCGCTCCCTGATCCAATCCAGGTGCTGGTGGAGTCAGCAGAGCGTAAGCTAGAGGGCTTGAAGCAGTCAGTCGAAGTCTTTAAGAATGACACCAAGAAGCTGCAGGTGAGTGAAAATGAGTGAGAGCAGGCGAAGGTGTTCCAACCAACCTCCATCCATGCCAGCCTCACTTCCTTTCCCTCTCCTGTAACATCTGTTTCTATTCCACCTATATTATATTTATATTATGATATGTTTTTATTCGCCTTTTAGTCACCAATTGGGTGTATTCGCATGGTTCACCCTGATGACCAGACATTCACTGAATGTGGACGTGCAGGAACGGGCTCAAATGGCGGAGTCAGAGTTCCTGTCAGGCCGAGACAAGCTGAAGTGAGCACACCAAAGCCTTGACACTTGCTGATGACAGTAGCTGCGTCTCCTTTTCCTGCGTCGGCATACCCCTCCATTCGCATTGGATAATTCCAATTCTTCTTCGTTTTTACCACGTCCTTTGACATACCGCAGGGCTGCAGGGCCTAAGATGCAGTGGTGTCGATTCAGACATCACCTTATTTCACCTCACTCTTTTCATTCACTGCATCCTTTTACCTGTTGATCGCAGGGCTGCAGGGGCTGAGATGCAACGGCTGGCAGGGTCGGTACGGGCAGCGGAGAAGAAATCCCTGGGTGAGTTGCTGCTGCAGCCATCTGTTCCACTCACAGCTTCTGTGGCGTCTGCAATGTTAAGTGTTTAAAGTAATGCTTAACAGCTTGCATACCAGCCGCGGCGTGCTCTAAAGCAAGCTTCTAAGCGGTGTGGCTTCCATCCTTGTTCTCTTTCTCCTCTTTCTCCTTTTCCTTCACCAGGGCTGCGTGAGCTTCTAAAAGACCTGCCTGCGAGAGACAGTGTTCGGCTCCGATCAGAGGTACGCATTGTGGCAACTGCATTGCCCCACATTGCTTGCCTACGGTCTGGTCAGTGCCATCCATCACTGCGGCCTGTCTGTGCAGCCACCTTGTTCCGGCGTTTCAAGCTTCGTATTTTCATTCCCAGCACTCGTTTCAGCACTCTCTTTAGCACTGTCTCTTCTGCTTGCTTGTGTGTTCCTCTCCCACTCGTCGTCTGCTTTAGCTGGCCATGGCAACCCGAGAGGCTCAACGTCAGCTGCATGCCATCAACAAATCAACCGTGCATGTGGCTCGTCTCGGCATCCCCATCTAGTACCTCCCTGCATATGCAGCCACTGCTGTCAGTTGCTTCACCATCCCTATTCATGGTTGGCATTGCAATCTAGTTGCCACTTATGCTGCCACTCGTGTCAGCTGGTGCATTTACGGCTGGCATGGCGGTGTACTGCTTCCTATTAAGCCTCCTTTTAGAAGCAAGTATTCTCATCATGATTCATGAGCTGAGACCAAGGCAATACATGTTTTCTGCGATGCACCTCTAAAATAAATTGGCCAGACAGTCCCATCTAACAGTTACTGAATAGTGTCTAGGGCAATGTCCGTCCATTTATTTGGATCTTCCTGAGGCACCTCGTTCCCTAAATCAATGAAGACACAAAGAGCAAAGAGCATGACAAAACGTACGGTAGTACAAGCACACTGATGTGAGAGGCCAAGAGCAGGGTAGGGTATGTAGAACACCGTACAGAATGAGTGCCAGCTGCTTACTGCGTACACATGAATAACTTCTTTCCCGTCTCACACTGAAACAAGAGCCATAACTGAAGGAAAGACACAGGATGGCAGATGCAAAAGCTTACCAAGGTCGTCAGCCTCCTCTGATGTAGGAGCAGGGCCGATAGGGAGCATCACATCTGATTATGGGAACAACCCAAATCGCACGACATGCACAAGAGATGCAAGAAGACGGAGTGTTAGCGAAGAATCTAGAATCTGATGACAAAAACGCGTGATACCTCTCTCCAGCGTCACTGCGAAGTAACCCACAGTTCAGCAGAGATTCAAATCATCAACATTAACTCTCACCATCGTCTGGAAGCGTCTCGCTCATCCATTCCTCATCAACGATGTCGACGAGGAGCCCGGGAAACAGCACTAAATTCGCCATGCCACGGTACCTCAACTCCAGATAAACGAAGGCGTTTACTCGTCGCTTTCAGGAAAATCGGGTGTGATTTGGGACTAGCGACGTGCACGCGAGCTCAGTCCATGCCCCCGGAACATTCATAACATCGCGAACGCGTAAAATACCCCTTCAAACGTGCACCACCTTTCGAATGTTTACCTTTTGGACTGGAATATCTGGTCTTGAGACCGTGGTTCCGAATAAGGAGCGGCTTTAGGATGAAAGATTCAACCGAAAACGAGCACTAGCTTGGAAGTCTGAGGTTCCTGCAAAAGTAGCTGCCATGCTGAAAACAGCGAGAAGTTGACCCGACCTGTGGCGAACATTCGGAAATGTTGGTACCCGAATGTCGCAACAGTTCGCAACTGTCTGAGAGCTCAGACCCGTGTCAGACCCTGAGCAACCGAAGAACAAATACCACGACACCAATCCCCGTACCAAGGCCAATGTGTACTTTACCTCAAGCACTGACAAAACGGTTCCTTCTCATTCAACAACCCAAAACGATTTTGGTGCTTCGCCCCATGAGGAGCATTACCACAACCGTTCTTCATGTCCTCTGGGCTCTCGCTTTTCTGAGCTGCGGAGCTTCAGCCGCATTAGGTATGCTCATGAGTTCGGAAAGTTTCCTCCTTCTGCCTGACAGATTCCGGCATGAACCAGCTGTTCGAGCCAACCGCAAGTCAAACCGAGCTCGACCACCACCCTTTTCCCGTATCTTCTCGTTATCTTTCCGATCCTTCGCTCGTACATTCCCACTTCTCGATGTCATTCATGATCTTCACCAGCCGTGCAGTCTCGAGGTAGCAATCATGGACCATATTCCGAGCACGAATTCCTCTATCTAACTGATTCGTCGAATTCAACGTGTGCAGAAGGGAGAGATGACCTAACTCTCGCCATTCTGAAGCCCGACATCATGGGGAGTAACTTCTGGACAGGCTTGTCCAATGACATCCGAGCAGCCGGATTCCAGGTCGTGCATGAGAAGCACTTCTTCTTTGACGAGCCTTTAGCAGAGAAATTCTACGCAGAGCACAAGGGAAAGAAGTTCTATCAGGGTCTGATCAACTTCATGTTAAGGTAAGCCATTCTCTCCGTCTCTCTTCTCGTCTTCCCCTACCATACCTGTTGTAACCAGTTGCGTTCTTGCTCCATCGGTCTTCTTTCAACCGCCCGTTATCCCAATCGTTTTCGTGAGTGTTGTCTGCAGTGCGCCAGTGACAGCATTGGTTCTCCAGCATGAGAATGCACCGTCAGCCTTTCGAGAGCTCATTGGCCCCACCGATCCCAAGACAGCCCGTGCTGCTCACCCTAACAGGTAAATTTCAGACTTCAAAAACTTGCAAGCTGAATGTCAAGTTACACTAGCCACAAAAGTCTGGTCTATACCGTAAGTTTTTTCTCTCTTCAGTTTTGGTGAACCGACCGTGCCATCTCATCTTCCCCTTCGGTGCTTGCCCTTATGCCAGCTTACGTGCCAAGTATGGCACGGATGTTCTACAAAATGCAGTGCACGGCTCTGCATCCATTGCTGATGCTCTCCATGAAATAAACCTTCTGTTCCCAGACTGGAAACCACCTCCAAGTAAGTCCAGGGTGCATCTTGGCTTTGCGTCCTGCATTATCACTTTTCTGCCTCGTTTCCTTCTGTCAGGCTTTAGCATTGGAAAGTATGTCTTGAAATTTGAAAATGTTGTCATGTTTTTTTTTTTGCTACAGGTCTGAAGACACTTACCAGCTTTGAAGATGCCAGTGAGCTCTGAAGTGTGTACCACTGCATGCTGGTGCTGTTTGTCTGTCGCACAAACTATTTTCCGTGAGACGCAGGTGGCACGCGGGGTATAGGCTGCAGGCATCAATGGATACTGGAGTCAAAGGATTCCTTGGCAGAAACGAATTTTCAAAGACCCGTTTCATATGGAAACAAAAATGGTGTGGTCCTAAGGCAACAATTACGGTATCATCATTGGAGGACTCAATGGCATCAATCTTCTAATGTACGGCATCAATGGCTCCTTCCTTCCCAATGCAAAACAGGGACTGGTGTTCAATTTCAAAGGAGGAGCTTCACGGGTCAGAAATACACTGACGGGGGCGTATGGTATTCCTCCCAACGAGGCAATCTCACTCTATGGAGAGCGTGTCAGTCATTATTCAGCATAAATTCTGAATGACACTTCCAAAATGTATTGCAGGAAGACTCACAGCTGTTGTGTGGAGGAGCTACCATGCCTTGGTCTGAGCACAATTACATCACCATGTTACTGTACAACGCTGACTCGCGAAGAGTTTGTACAAGAAACGAGAAACAGGGTCCAGCCAATATGGACAAGAAGAGCTGCATTGCAGCGTACAGAGACACAGGCAGCTAGCTAGCCAACCAAACTCGAACAAGAACCAGGCATGAGAAATGCAGGGATGGGGAATCTATGGACGAGAGTCCACTACCATCAAGCTCACAAAAAAAAATACTTTTTAGAAAAGCGTACAAGGATGAGGGGATAGAACCCCATGCGGGAACCATGGAGGCGTGGTGGGAGGGCGCATAGCATAACATAAGCCCCCCCAGCATCAAAACTGTGAAGGCCATGGCTGGGTGGGTGGGCAGGTGGTGCTAGTTGTGCAGCCTTATTCGTAATCAACATTGGCTGCTCCAATGGAGGGTGGGGTTTGAGGGGAATGCTGGCAATGCTGCTGCTTAGAAAGTGGGCGGACCCAGGTTGTGGTGTGGATGTGGGCGGCGATGGCGGTACGTGGGTGGCGATGGTTGTACATGTGAACGATGAAGTCGACATATGTGGGCGGCGATGGCGGTACATGGGGGCGGCGATGGCGGTACATGGGGGCGGCGATGGCGGTACATGGGGGCGGCGATGGCGGTACATGGGGTCGGCGATGGCGGTACATGGGGTCGGCGATGGCGGTACATGTGGGCGGCGATGTGCATGTGGAAGCATCACATGGAACAGAGTGGCATGGAATGGCGAGGCGGAGGGATGGAGGGGCATGGAATGGCTTCTTGAAAGCAGTGGCAGCACTAGGGCAGAGGCTCCTGCACATTTCTAAGGCGGTTGAGGTGCAGATAGACGTCAGTGCCATAGCCCTCCATGGACACCACCTGCAGGTCGCCGCCAAAGTAGCGCGCATACAGCCGACTGATGGGCAGCCCATACCCGTACCCCGCCCTGCTCCACACACATAATAACAAGGGATACGCAAGCAAGGAAGCACAATGAGCCGAGTGTGGATGCACGTCGGTGCAAGCAGTGTGCCAACAGTCGCTGTGAAAGCTGCTGGGAAAAAATGTGAGTGCGTTCGCAAACCAAGAGGCGGCCCGTGCATGAGCGAATCAAGTGCCTCCACGTGTATGCACAAATCAACAGCCTGCATGCGCGTGCGTGGGGCAGGAGGTGGTGTGCTTACATGACGGTGGGCATCTCGTGCAGCTGGTTGGCAGCAGCGATGGGCGAGTGGGCCGTGGTGTAGAGGTACGTCCAGATCTTGGGCAGCCCACTGCGCGGAATTCCCCCACCCTCATCCGAGATCTGCAATGACAAGCAATGGGGTTGGGAGTGGCATGGAAGGGTTACGATGCAGAATGTTAATTGAAGAACGGTCTGCCACAGAAAAAAAAGAGCAATTACACACCTTAGCAATCACACTCCCAACAGCACCACCACTACCATCACAGACAGTCATACCCCGTCATCTGTTGAGGAACTGTACGAAGTTCAACTAATCCACTCGATACACACCTTGATGGTGACATCCTCCATGCCGTCAGCCACGATGAGGCGGATGGGCGGCGGGTCATGGTCGGCATCGGCGAACCGCTCTTGCACGGCACGCAGCGAGTTCTTCACGAGCTCAAACAGCATCTGGTGCAGATGGGCCGGCACGTACCTGCAGTGCAGTGTGGTGCATAGGGGTGCGGATGGGTGGGGTGGAAGGAAATGGGATGGGGGTATTGAGGGCATGACGCTCCTGCACGGCGCGCAGCGAGTTCTTCACCAGCTCAAACAGCATCTGGTGCAGATGGGCCGGCACGCACCTGGGGTGATGGGGAGATGGGAAAGAAGCCAAAGTTTTGTGCATTGAACGGTGGTACAGCACAACATTGAATAACTGAGGTTCCTCACAAGCTGAAATAGCAGCCGGTGAAGATGGGCCGGCACGTAACAGCACGGCATGGGCAAGGCACTTCAAGGGAGAATAGCGCACGCAAACCTGAGGTCGGGATCGCCACAGATGTGCACGTCAGGGGCAGAGCCGTAAGTACGTCATGGCATGGCATGTCACGGCACGGCACAGCACTGGCACAGCATGGCACGGGCAAAGCAGAGTAACTTACGCGAATCTGAGGTCGGGGTCGCCATATATGTGCACGTCAGGGGCAGAGCCGTATGCGCGCATGCATGCTGTGTGTGGGCATGTGGATATGTGTGCACGTGTGCATGTGTGTGCAGCACGTACGCGAATCTGAGGTCGGGGTCGCCATATATGTGCACGTCGGGGGCAGATCCGTATGTGCGCATGCATGCTGACCGCGCATCATCCACTGCGTTCCGTGCCACCTCCACCGGCGACACCTTGGTGCAGATCAGACTGGGCGGATGGGAAATGGGGGAATGGGGGATGGGGGAGAAGGGAGAAGGGAGGGGCTCCTTGTTGACATCACGTGCCTCATCCACTGGGGATCCCTTACATCAGACTGGACGCAAATGAGTTGGGGAGAATGGGGATGGGGGAAGATGGTGTGCGGGGAGGAAATCGGGATGGGGGAGAAGGGAGGGGCTCCTTGTTGCCATCACGTGCCACATCCACCAGGGATACCTTGGCGCAGATCAGACTGAGACGGATGTGGAAAGGGGGGAATGGGGAAGGGCTTGGAATGTGGCACAAACGGAGAAGGCATTGGAAAAGGGCAGTGCTGCGTCTCTTTAAATGCACTTGTCATTGGCGTGCCAGGTGGTATACCCTATATATAGGAGCACGATAACCTATATAGTTGGGCGGCATACCCTATATAGTGTGGCGGCGGCGACGGTTTATGGAGCGCAATTTGTTGGCCAATGAGCATACGAATGCCTATCCGTGACATGTAGAAGCGATCCTGAGCACACAAGGCACGGATGGGCAGAGAGGTGAAAGGCACAAACAGGTTAGCACCGTGCCAGTCCGGAACAAACAAAAAACACAACAGCTGACAACAGGCATCACAGGACAATGTGTAAGCTGCGGCAAGAAACGCTATGTGATTAAGAAGCAGCAGAACAGCCGCAGCAGCAGCAGCAGCAGAAGCAGCAGCAGCAGGCGACTGACCAGGAACTGGTGGATCTCGGGCATGCTGTCGAGCCCCTGACTCGAGCTGCCCTCAACCATGTCCCTCTTGAGCTCGCTCACTCCCATCGCCACCGTCGGCATCACGTTGTTGTGCCGCATCCTCACCTGGTCAACGCCAGTCAATGTAAGTCAACGGAAGTTGAAAAATCAAGCACAGAAGGTAATGCAAGTCAACGGCGGTAAATGCAAGTCAAGAATAGCCACGCCACGCCTAACAGAACGGACAAGTTGACTTTCAAGCAACCAAGCCATAACAGCCATGGTTCTTCTGCTCCACCTCTGCTGTCCGATGCTCCGCTAACCCGTGCTCTGGAACCACCACCTGCTCGCCTGCTTGATCATCCCAAGGTACCCCTCGCCTCGTCCTCCCCTACTCCAGCAGCTCGTGCGTGCTGTCTGCCGCATCCTCGCCTCGCTCTCATCCTCGCACGCTGTCTGCCGTGCTCGTGTGCAATAAATAAACCGCTCGACTGTAGCTTCCCTTGCTCACCTGGTCTAGCAGCTCCGTGAAGCGCATCTCTTCTCTGGCATTCTCAATGGACGGGAACTGGGAGATGTCCTTGAACGAGTCCACGTACCAGTCCCGCACCTGAGCGGACAGAGAGGGTGAGAGAATGAGCATGAGAAGAGGGCAACGAGGGTCAGGGAGTGCGGAAGGGAACTGGTGGATTTCCTTGAACGAGTCCACATACCAGTCTCGCACCTGGGAGGATGACAGGGCAAGAGGAAATGAGCAAGGTAGATAGAGCCCGGGAGTGAACAGGGAGCGAGAGGGATGAGCGAGGGAAGATGACAAACAGCGCCAAGGGGTGGGAAAGGATACTGGTGAATGTCTTTGAACGAGTCCACGATGGAGAACGCAGAGGTCTACACGTTTCTTGTTTACGAGTCGTCTCGACACTTCCTCTCCAACACGGTTAGCACGCGTTTACGGAGCCCCTCACCTTGAGAATGGGAGCTTTATCCGACAAGCCGTATGGGAGATTTTCGAGTTCCGTGACGCGATGAGCCAGTCGCACGGGGAGCTCGTGGTGAAGGAACTGCGCGGCTGTGATGAGATTACGCTCGGTGGGGTAGGAGCCGTGTGCCATCATGTACTTGAGGCTGACTCCTGTTTGCTTTTTTGACGCGCATTTGTGTATCTGCAAGCATCGAACACACGATTGATAAGGAAGGAACGGATGTGATGAGATTACGCTCCGTGGGATACGAGCCGTGCGCCATCATGTACTTCAGGCTGACTCCTGCTTGCTTTCTTGACGCGCGTTTGTGTATCTGCAAGCATCAAATGCACGAATCGTAACGAGCAACAGAAGAAGTTGAGCGTTGTGGCACAAATAAAGCATAAAAAGAGAAACAAATAACAAAACGAGAGGCAAACGCTGAAGGCGAATACAAGGCATATCGTGAAGAAGGATTGATTCTCTGGACCAGCGAAGGCCTGGCAGGAGGAGGGTAAAGGACGTACATCGGCTAGAACACTGGAGCACAGCGTGTGTGACAGTTTTCTGACAGGTGACTTGGCTGCGGCTGTCGTCATTGCCAAGCGTCTTATGAAACCAACTGGATGCCAAGACCAGCCTTCAAACACTGAAGAGCTTTCGCCGAGACGTCAGGTATCTTTTACTGGAACAACTATCTACGACTACGACGATCAGTGTTGATCCTCGAAACTGTTATCTACGACTAAAAGCTGTGGCTAACTGATGATGCTCATTCCGTATCCAACTCATGCTATAAGACTGACACACATGCTAAGACGCTGGTAGAACTTGCGATACAAAAATGTCACGTGCAGTTCACGGCATTCAGGCTTGTCAGTAGCTGATCAAACCACCACACGTCAGGAAACGAGCATCTGTATGCACTGGAAGACGAAGCTGTTGGATCAAGAAGGAATTCATGAGACAACGCAGCAAGCTGCAGAGCTTACGAAGCTGACTTCAAACTGCTCCGACAATTTCGGCCTCTGAAGAGATTTCAGCACGTATGAAAGTCGATTTGTTCGGTTCAATATGGTTTAGATTGGTAGAGTCAGATATCAGTAGAGAGGGCCCTTGGGAGTTCCGTGGGAGGAGTGTGAGGGACTTCAACAAGCCTGTCTCCTCGTCGCGTCGGGATGAATGCGAATGGCGCTGCTTGCGTCTCAACCGCAAATGTTCATCGCATGTGCCCGATAGCCCAAAATGCTCCGTCCGCAAAATGGCAAATTCTTGGACCACCCAAAGAGCACTGGGCCACTGGCCACCAGCCGCTCATTTCCCGCAATTCCGTAAAATGGACGCTGCATTCTGACCGTCCGAATCTTGCCGCAAAGTAGGACGAATATAGGGCGGAATTGTGAGGTTTCCCTCTGTGTACTGTACGAAACACAAATTCCCTCTGTATGTGAGAGGTTCCTAAAAGTTTGCGTTCCTAAAAGTTTACGGGGTGACTCTATGCTGCCACGTCACGAGATAAGTGCGTGATTTCCACGCGAATTGGAGAATGGAGACCTTGAGTTTTCGACGGAAGAATTTCCATGGATGATGTGTGGTGGTCCCCGCACCAAGAGATTTGCACCCTACTCACACCAGTCGTCTGCTGCGCTGGCCGAAGAGCTTTCTGCGCCTATCGATTCTCTCAGTCATCTGCAGACCACACAAGCGCCATGGTGGATAGGCCCCTGACACGCCAGATCCAGCATACGTCACGTCACACACAACACAATGCAGCGCGATCGGAGCAAAAATGCTCTCGTTTCCATAACATGGGCAATGCCTTACAAAATACCATAAAACAGGGGAAGTTCTGTCACGCAAATATCACAAGCATTCACAATTCCTAACATCTTTTCTAGGAGGAGGTTGGAGGTGTATCACATTGTTAGTATTGACAAAGCACCTTACTTTCCATACATCAACCTTGGAGCTTCACAGGTTGGTTGGTTGCCACAAGCAAAAGGCAATGCCCTTCTTTCTCAACGGTGGCACCGTTGGGTAAGATTCACGACAAAATAAGCGTGCACTAGGATATTGGCCATAACTTATTATCCTTATTGGCCAACAGGCTAACGAAAACCAACATAGGGACCTCCACTATCCCCGCTCGTACTGGTACCGTGACCAGCATACTCATCATAAACATAACTGTTATCACTACCGTTGTCCTCCGGCTCCACAGGAAACAAATCCTCCTCCACCTCATACTGAACTACCTTTTTCTTACCACCGCGTTTCCCACCAATTCCAGCTCCAGAGCCGGCATCCCGCATCCCTACACTATCACTTACGATCCGGCTCGTTCCAGCTGCAGGCGAAGCAGCAAAAGAGCTTATGTTCCTCCCACTTGCACTGCGCCTGGTGCTCCTGCTTCCTGCTTTTCCAGGGTAAATGCCCTCCCCACTCGTAGCCGCCCCTTGCCATCTTTCTGCCTGCTCGTTGTACCCCGCGCTCATGCTGTCCTTAAAGCCCGAGCTTTCACTGTACCCAGTGCTCATACTGTCAGTGAAACCCATACTCATGCTATCCTTAAAGCCCGAGCTCATACTATCATAACGGCCATGACTGCCACCTTCGCCGTACCCCATACTCATGCTGTCCTTAAAGCCTGCACCTGCACTGCTGTTAAAGCCCATGCTTGCACTATCCCTAAAGCCTGTGCTGCTAACCCTAGACCCTGGCCCCAAGCAGTCACCCAGTGAACTCTGTCCCCTGCTGGCGCGGATCTTGGGTGCCTTGGGCTTGAACCGTGAGATAGAGGAAGGCGGGGAGGAGCAGGGAGCAGAGGCGATGGAGTTGGAGGGGGAGAGCATGGCTGCATGGAATGCCTCGGCTGGCTGGCTGTGGGCTCGAGACAGAGACTCTTCGGTGCCACTGCTTGCAGCACCAGCAGCAGCAGCAGCAGCAGCAGCAGCACCCACGCTGGCAGCAGCACCAGCACCAGCACCAGCAGCGGCAGCCGCGACGGCAGCAGCAGCAGCAAAGGAGCCTGCAACAGAGGAACGGCGCTTCTGCTTGTCTCTTAACAACCCTGCTGTTCCTCCCTTGTACCCCTGAACCCCCTTTTTGAACCCTCCTGCCGGAAAACCTCCCGCTGTTGGAATCAAGTGTCCTCTCTCCTCTGCGTCCTCCTCCCCCTCCTCTCCCTCCTCATCTTCCTCCTCCTCGTCTCTTGTACCGTACAAGTCCTCCTCCTCACCCTCTACCTCCTCTAATACCCCCTCGTGCTCTGCTCCATGCGCCCCAATAACATCCTCACTAGCAACTGGACCATACAAATCATCGACCGCCTCCTCCCCCACATCACCATACATATCCTCATCCACTGCCATACCACCTCCTCCTACCCCCACTTCCATACCCCCTCCTCCTCCCCCCACTGCCATACCCCCCGCTCCTCCTCTCCTTCCCACAGCCCCCTCCTCCATCCTCTCCTCCTCCCAGACCGGACCATCGTTCTCGTTTGGACCCATCCTCCCTACTGATTTCCCCCCACTGCGCGTTGGCTTCTTTTTCCTCCCCTTGCTTCTCAAACCTTCATCCACCGCACCCATTGTACCCACTGTACCCACTGTACCTACGGTAACCACACCACTGGGTACACCCATTGAAGGACCCAGGCCAGATTTCCTCATTACAGTCTGCTCCGCTACAAGTCTCGACGAGCGGCCGTCTACTGTATATGCGCGCTGCACTGTCACGGGTGTAGACTCCTCGGGATGTGTGTGCAGCTGTGAATGCAGCTTGGCATTTCGCCCATCTGCTGTGAAGGACCTCTGAATCCCCATGGCTTCTTCACTCTCCATACCACCGCCATTGTAACCGTCTTCGTAACCATCATCCTGGTAACCAGCATCATCGGAACGACCAGCATTGTAACCGGCATCGTTGTAACCACCGTCATTGTAACCAGCATCTTTGTAACCACCATGGTACTCCTCAACGTAACCGTCACCGTAACCAGTTCTAACATAACCACCATCCCCACCATCATACCCAACCCCATAGCCACCATCATCTTGGTAACAAGCGGCAGCATCCGTCCCTGCAGCGATCATGTGCCTGCTGTCCCCGCACATCTCTCCGCCTTGCCCCCCCACCTTCATCCCTTTCTTGGGAGATCCACCTACTCCCACCCCTCCAATCCCACCCCCCACCCCTCCAATCCCACCTCCCACTCCCCCAATCCCTCCTCCCACCCTCCCAATCCCACCTCCCACACCACCTCCTCTCCCCACTCCCCCTCCCCTTCCCGCACCACTCGCCACCCCGTCACCCCCTCCCACCACACCTCCTGCCACCACACCCCCTCCCCCCATCATCCCCCGGGAAAACTCCACACCTCCCTGCACCAAGTTCAGAGACGTCTCAAAACTCGCCGCACCCCCTCCGGGCGCACCGCCTCCCAGCACACCCCCTCCCAGCACACCCCCTCCCAGCACACCCCCTCCCAGCACACCCCCTCCCAGCACACCCCCTCCCAGCACACCCCCTCCCAGCACACCCCCTCCCAGCACACCCCCTCCCAGCACACCCCCTCCCAGCACACCCCCTCCCAGCACACCCCCTCCCAGCACACCCCCTCCCAGCACACCCCCTCCCGGCACACCCCCTCCCGGCACACCCCCTCCCAGCACACCCCCTCCCCCCATCATCCCCCGAGAAAAATCAACACTGCCCTGAACCATACTGGCTGCCACACCGGACCCGGCACCCCCTCCTAATCCTCCTGCACCCCTGCCTCCGCCTGCTGCACCGCTCTGCACCATCTTGAACTGCAGCAGCTCCTGCAGCCGCCTGGGCGCGTCCGAGGAGGTCTTTTGCAGCCTGGAGTGAGAGGCGGGCATGGGGAGCGGAGATCCCAAGGTGGAGGCTTGAAGCCCAGACCCTGTGCCCCCTGCTGTTGACACACCTGCTGCTGCTGCTGCCATGCCTGCTGCTGCTGCTGCTGTAACGCCTGCTGCTGACAAGCCTGCTGCTCCTACTGGTGAGAGAAGCGCAGCTGATCCTGCTCTTGCTGCAGGCGAAAGCATGTCGCCATGGCTACCTCTCAACATGTCTGTATGACCCCCTCTCAGCATGTCAGCATGGCTAGTGGACCGCTGCCGCCAAATATGCTGGTTCCCACCTATGCCACCACCACCCATGCCTGCTGCTGCTGCTGCTGCCGCAGGAGAAGCACTACCCCAAGTGGGAGTTGGTGCGTGCCTGGAGATAGTGGGAGTGCCGCTGTGAGACGCCTCAGAACCCCACTGCACCCCTGCAACTGCAGGCGACAGCATGCTTCCCTGCACATACCCTACTCCTCCTGCTCCTGCTGCTCCGGCTGCTGCTAATGGTGCTTGAGGCATGGTAGGAGGCATGGGGGAGGAAGGCACGGGCATGGTTTGAGGAGGCAAAGGCATGCTGTTTCTGCCGCTACTCTTCTTGCTCTTCTGCCGCCTCGCCCTGGCAGGAGGATGACGGTGAGGAGACACGGGAGCAGCAGAATCCACTGCAGCAGCAGTAGCACCGGCAGCACCAGCAGCAGCAGCAGCAGCAGCAGCAGCAGCAGCAGCAGCAGCAGAGGCCACTCCAGCAGCACCGGCAGCACCGGCAGCACCGGCAGCACCGGCAGCACCTGCAATCTGCGACCTGCTATGGGCATGGGTTCTGCCTCTTCGCTCTCTGTGCGGCCTCGGCTCCCCTTCCTCGCCCTCCTCGTCCCCATACGCCCCGTCGTCATCATCATCATCACCAATACTCGTATCCCTCCAGCCAACACGACCACCACCACGCTCTGCTTGCACCTCCACTCCTTCCTCACCCTCACTCTCGCTCTCAGCTGAGGAAAATTCCACCTCTTCCCCCTCGTGCGCCTCTTCCCTTTCAACCCCCTCCTCCCACAGTCCCTCATCCTGTCCTTCTTCCTCCCCCCCCACATCATACAGGTCCTCCTCCCCTTCCTCTTCCTCTGCCATTCCTGACACGATTCCTTCGCCAACAATTTCAGAATCAGCCATGCCAAACCCACCATCAGCAGCGTAACCACCACCACCAACAGTAGCAGCACAACCTGCAGTGGCAGCAGCAGAAGCAGCAGCAGCAGCAGTGGCAGCTACCCCACTCTCAAATTCCTCCTTTCCAAATTCACCCCCATTGGTCACTTCCTCATCTTCCTCCTGCCCTTCCTCTTCCTCCTCTGTCGCCTCTTCCTCTTGATCTTCTTTCATCCCAGTCCCCTGCTCTTCATGCTCCTTTTCCCCCTCACGCATACACTCACCCTCCTCCCCACCACCGTCCTCCTCACTCACCTCCTCCTCTTCTACCCCTTCATCTACAAGCCCGTGCACCAAATTCCCCCCTCTCTCCTTCTGCCTACTTGCCTCTCCATCCTCCTCACTCTCCTCCTCCTCGTCCCCTTCCTCAATCGTCTCAGGCACGCCAGCAACCACCTGCTGGTGTACCTTAGTCAGGCAACGCAGCAGCTTCGCTTCTAGCAACCTCTCCCCTTCCATCCCTACCCCTAGCTCTGCCACCTTCCCGGCACCCCCACCTTCACCAGCAGCACCAGCAGCAGCGGAAACAGTAGCATCACCTCCCTCAACTGCATGTCTCTGCCTCAGCTGCTGCTGGTGCTGCTGTTCGCGTTTGAACGAGTTGCGGGCGCTGAGCAGAATGCGCAGAGCATCGTCCCCAGAGAGCTTCCGAATCTCTTCCCGAATGTCCAGAGAAGACAAGAACTTGCTCTCCTGTTGAGACTTGCTCTCCTGTTTCGACTTGCTGTCCTGTTTGGATTTGATCTCCTGTTTCGACTTGGAATCCTTCTTAGATTCACTATCTTGTTTAGGTTTCCCAGAGGCCACTCCCTTGGTATCAACCTCCTCATGCCTTTTCTTGAGCTCTTTCTCCTTGTCTGCATCGCCCTCCAACTCCTCCTCGCCCCTCACCCTGCTTCTTCTTCCCTCCTTCGCCTCCTCTCTCTTGCCCTCCTCCCTCTTACCCTCCCTCCTCTTGCCTCCTTTCTTTTCCTCCCCCTTCTTTCCCCCGTCTCTCTTGGCCTCTTCACTCCGTCCCTTGCGCTGCGGATTCGCCTCATTATCTCGACCAAGCTGTCTTTCCGTTCTGGCCTTGCTCCCGCCTCTTCCAGCCCTCTCCCTGCTCGGTCTCCTGTAACCCCGATCCTCTCTCCTGCGAGCCCGGTCACTCCCATCACTGCCACTGCTGCTACCACTCTCATCACTGCCACTGTTACCATCAGTGCTGTCTTCGTCCTCCTCTTCAATCCTCCTCCTCTCGTTCCTCCCTCTCCGCTCCTTCTCACCCTTCCTCTTCTCCCCGCCGCCTCTGCGCCTATCTCTGGATGGACCTTCTTTTTCACCCTTATTCCCACCCTTACCCCGTGCCCTATCTCTCACCCTCTCTTCCTCCCGATTCCTACCCTTATCCCTCTCCCTCGCTCTACCCTGGGCTTGCTCATGGTCGCTACGCTCATGGTCGCTACTCACATGCCCATCACTGTCCAGGTCACTGTACCCCCCCAAATCACAGTCACTGCCACCCCTGTCCCCACGGCTGTGCTTTCCCCTATGCATTCCCGCTCTTTGATCTCTTTCCCCAACACCCTCCAACCTCCCCCGCCTTTTCACCCCATCGCTTCTCCTCCCCTCGTAATCACTTTCCCGCCTCCCATCCTCGCTAAGCTCTTCCTTTCCGTCCTCGCTATAAGCATCCCTCCCGTCCTCGCTATGATCCTCCCTCCCGCTCTCATCACCCGCGTCCGCTCCCCGCCTCCTCCTGCCCCACCTGCCCCTCTCATCGGCGTCTGATCCCTCCTCGATTCTATCCCCTCTTCTCTCACGTCTGTTCCGGTTTCCCCTCACCTCCTCCTCCTCCTTTTCCTCCTCCTCGTCCTCCTCCTCGTCCTCCTCATCCTCATCATTGTCCCTCTCTTCCCAATGGTCATCCGCCCTACCTCTTCGTCTTCCCACTCTCTTCCCTCTCCCTCCACCCCCATGATCAGACTCCAATGACCCCCTGCTCCTGCTCCTGCTCCTACTATCAGAAACACTCCTACTCCTCCTCCGCTCACTCCTCCTCTGCTCCCTCCTCCCGGACTCTCCCCCTCTCCCCTCCCTACGTCTCTCTCCACTCCTTAGCTCCCTACGAGAAACCCCGTCTCGCCTCATCCGGCCCCTACCTCCTCTTTCTCCTTCTTCTTCCTCCTCCTCCTCTTCCTCCTCCTGCTCACTATCTGACGCGTGTCTCCTTCGCGAGTGACGACTATCCGATCGATCAACATCAGACCCATGGCCATCGTCATCGTCATCGTCATCATCATCATCATCATCCCTCACTCGTGATGCCAGCCCCAAACAATCATCCCCCCAGCCATTATCAACCGCCTCATCATCCTCCTCCTCTTCATCATCATCATTATCACTGCTGTCCCTCTCTCGCCCCCGTCCCTTGTGGACCCCGCTGCTCTCACTATCACTGCTGTCCCTCTCTCGCCCCCGTCCCTTGTGAAACCCGCTGCTCTCACTATCCTTCCCTCTTGAACTCAACCCCTCCCCCTCATCCCCCTCCTCCTCTCCATCCTCCTCATCTTCCTCCTCCTCCTTCCCTCCACGCATATTCCTCCGCAGAAACTTCATCAGCTCCTGAGTCAAAATCTCCTGCAACTGCGGGTCTTCCAACCTCGGATCCCTCCTCTTCAAATCCTCATCATCATCATCCCCATCCCCATCCTCCTCACTACCCCCAAACCCCCCCTCATTTTCCAGCACCTTCCCCCAGTTCTTCGGCCGGAAATCCGCCTCATCCAGCCCATACACCTGCGACAGAAGCCGCTTGAACTTGGTCATATCCAGCGGGTTCGTGCCTTGATGCTCGCCCGTGTCTATCTCCCCGTGCAGCGCATCCCCTTCGTCCGTCAACACAAGCACGTCCGCCTTCCCCGGAAGCAGCTTCGGAAACCCCGTCGGCTGCTCATCCTCCTCCTCCTCCTCTCCCACTCCCCCCTCGCCATCCGTCAACGTATCACCCGTGCCCCTGATTCCTTCCTCCCCATTCCCACTGCCTCCGCCTCCTCCTCCGCCTCCGCCTCCGCCTCCGCCTCCGCCTCCGCCCGTGGTCCCCCCGACGCTCCCCTCACCTTCTCCCCCTCCGCCGTCGCTCTGCTCCCCAGAGCTGTCCTCCTCGTCCGGGTTGCTCCAGATCTTGGCAGGGCAGCGGGCAAAGACGGGGGTGAACGAGGAGGACGCGGGGGATGGGGACGGGGGCTCCCCGCGCGCGTGGGTCACTGGAGCTGCGGCGGAGGAGGCGGGATCGAGTTGCTGGGCCTGAACTTCCTGCTCCTGCTGCTGCTGCTGTTCCTGAACCTGCTGTGGCTGCTGATCGGGTTGAGCTGCGTTGCTGCTGCTACCTATCGCACTTCCTCCCACACCGCCATCCGCAGCACCATCAGCAATGCCACTCGCATTCTCAGAACCAACGGTAGCAGCAGCGGCATCCGAACCAACAGAAGGACCTTCCACACTCTCAGCACACTTGCCGCCGGCACTGGTACCATCCCCACCACCAGCAACACCTTTCCCGCCATCTGCACAGCTCTCAACACCTCCTCTCTTCCCACGCTCGCTTGGAGCTCGCCTGGCATGTGGGGGGTGCCTCCGGGCCCCACCAGCAGCAGAACCAGCAACAGAACCAGCAGCGGTACCAGCAGCAGAACCAGCAGCAACGGCTCCATTCCGTACTCTATGCGCTGGTTTTGAAGGCAACGACATTCTCCTGCCCAGAGCCGCCGGGTTCGCCAAGGGACCTGGAATTCCCTGTGCAGGTGGTGGTTCTTTACTTAGTCTGTTCATAATCCGCTCAGCTGCCTGCTTCCGCCTCTCGCGCTTCTGCTCCTCCTCGGTCATCTCCCTCTGCGGCTTCTCCTGCGGCTGCTCCTGCTGCTGCTCTTTTGCTTCTCTCTCCCCGCTCTCACCTCCGGCCTGCTCTTCCGAACCTGCTGCCAATCCTGAGGTGGAGGCTTGGCTGGGTTCATCCCCTTTGTGCCGGATCACGAGCTCCGTGATGCTCCGGAGGAAATTGCCGGACAATTGGGACTTGAGGGATGATTTCTCCTTGGATTTCGACTTCGTCTTGGGCTTGTCATCACCGTCACCCGGTTCTCGCCTCATCTTCAATTTTTGTTCTCTTTTCAAACTCAACAAATGCTCGGGGTTGACGAATTTTTGTAACCAACACGGAGTCTTCAACGTGTGACTGGTGTGCTTCTCATTCTCCCTGAAAAGCCAAAAAACTTGGTGTCAGAAAGCAGATTTACCTGCAATGATGCAAAGGAAAAGGAGAGCTCGAAAAGGTGAACGCCGAAGGGTTACCAACATTCACGTTATCAATATGATGATTCACATTGTCACAAATACGGTATCACGCACCGACGAAAACGAACGCGCTCGACACCGGCTTCATCGGTTCAGGCATGTTATCGACATGATGGTTTCGGTGCGACTGGAATGCCACGAAGATTTCGTTCAAATCTATGTTATGTACGCAATAGGGTTAACAAACGAAGTTGTACAAGTGGACGACGACGGATACTCATTGGAATGCATGCTTGTACTAATAACATTAACGACCCAAGATAAGGTCATTGTGATACAATAGACAAGGTCCTATAAGGTCAATGACGCAGCCGCAACGGATGCATAATTACGCCTAGTTTTGGTCGCTGTTTGCTAACCCTACCCGAGAGTAAAGGTACTAGCAGGTGGTGACTGTACGGAACCTGTTAGTTAGAAGCTTATCAGGGAGGCAGGCAATAAATTGGAATCGACCCAGTTCTGGTGTGCCGGAGCAGGAGCAAGGCAAAAGGTACGGGTCACGGGTGCGTTGCGTTGGCCTGTCATGGGTGCCCAAGCTGTGAGTTGGGGAAAAGGTGCCCAAGCACCTGCCCTGGGAGTTAGTTTGAGTACGGCTGAATGAGTTTCCTTTCGTTTGACAACGTTTTACAGGAGTTGGTTGGTCAGGGCGGTCAGCCTCCACTGCTCAGGGTGTGACGCGCCACCAGACCAGAATTGTTCAGGGTGCTGCCCCATCCATCCCTGCCTGCTTCGCAGGCATCTGATGCTTTTCATGTGCAACCACATGCACTTTTTTGTGTCGCGATCATCCTCACCCATGCAAAACTCTGTAATAAAGATCGACCGAACCAAACCATTCTTCCCAAAGCAGTATGTTCCCAACAACCATGGACACCCCACGCGACGATCCATGGTGACATGTGGCACCATGGGTGGAATGGCTGGATGTCTTCATGGTACTCGGCGGTGGTGATTGGCTGCTGACAATCACCAAAAATGCAGATGACACTGTACTGGTTTGTGTTCTAGATTGAAGCATTATTACCAATAAACAATAGTCCCACATTATAAAACAAGACATTCACAAAACACGCAGCTTAGACTTGACGGTGCAATCATCCAAGTCATGGGGAATAATACAATGATGGACCTAACAAGGGCAGTGATGCTGGGTTCGGAACTGGAAGTGCGGTGTCGGACAGCGATGTGCGGTAGGCTCGATGTCGAAAACATCAGGCTAAACCTACTTTCCAGGGTTCGATCGATTGTATGCGATGCATCACAAACCTCTCATAATCTACATGCAACGGAATTTTTGGGATTAGGGTTTGCAAGCATACAAATAGGAGTCCTACAAATGTTGTACCCTCTAGGGAGTGCCTCACTGCAGCCTATCATAACATTAACATTTGACACACCCCCATAGGCTAAGTGAGGGACACCAGGGCAAGCAAGGTGAAACAAACGGTCACAAGACCAGTCAAGGCAAGACAAGCTCAGGGTGGATCTCAAGGACACCACACAAATTCCGAGCACAAGCAAGCGGCCACAAGGCCAGTTCAAGAGTTCACTAGGATATAAATAGGAAAACACAACAAGCAGAGCAAGCAACCAGACTACAGCAACCGGGGGCCTACCTCAACAAGCCCCAACTGCACACAGAACCTGTGGTGATCACCAAGCGCCAAGGCCTTGGTGAAGACGTCTGCAGTGTTGGCCTCTGAGGCCACAAAGTCCAGGCGTGCCTGGCCGCGTCGCTGCAGCTCTCGCAGGAGGAAGTACCTCACGTCAATATGCTTCACTCTGCTCTCCAGTCGAGGCTCTCGACACAGGAGGATCATGGCCTTGTTGTCAGCGTACAAGGTCGGTGCAGAGCGAGGCCGCTCACCAAGGTCGGCGAGCAAGAAGGTCAACCAGCGAAGCTCCTGTGCCGCCATGGCACCAGCGTAGATCTCTGCCTCTGCACTGGAAGTAGCCACAGACGACGACCGTGTAGACCTCCACGACACAGCACCAGCTCCCAGACTGAAGCAGTAACCCTGAGTCGAACGCTGAGTCTCCACGTCGTCAGCGTAGGAAGAGTCGCAGTGACCAGTCAACGCCACTGGCTGAGTCCCTACAAGCACAAGCCCCATGCCTGATGTAGTCGCCAGGTACTTCGCCACCCTCACAGCAGCTGTCCAGTGGATAGGACGGTGTCTCCCAGTCGCAACAAAGCGAGAGAGGACGCTGAGGGGAAAGGCGAGGTCCGGCCGAGTACAAGTCATCAGGTACATGAGGCAGCCCACCAGCTCTGCGTAGGGACCACTGGACTCAAAAGGCTCGTCGGGAAAGGGGCCAGTGAGTCTGTGGTCAACAGCAAGAGGAGTGGGCTGTGTGGTGGAGAACTGGAAGTCGAACCGCCGAAGGACCTGCTGCACCATGTGTGACTGCGTCAGTGTGATGGTGCGAGCGGCTCTGTCCCGGGTAATCTGCAAGCCAAGGTAACGCTGCAGCTCACCCAGGTCAGTGCACTTGTGTCTCTTCTGCAGTTCGAACTTCACCTGAGCCAGGGCTGCCCTGTCTGCTGTAGCAAACACCAAGTCGTCGACGTAGACAAGGATAAAGAAAGGAGTAGAACCCGCTCGAACAAACAGCGACGGGTCGGCGGAGGACGGGCTGAACCCAAGGTCACGAAGCGTGGAGCGAAGAGTGTCGTGCCACTCACGGGGCGACTAGCGGAGACCGTAGACTGGTCGCCTCAGGCTCCACTGGGTCCCAGGTGGGAAGGTGTCAGTGAAGCCAGGAGGACGGCGCAGCCAGATCTCCTTGTGCAGTCGGCCCTGGAGGAACGCAGTGGAGAAGTCGAGGGAGTGCAGCTCGTAGTCTCGCTGCGCTGCTATGTGGAGTAACACCCGAAGAGTAGTCATCTTCGGGGTCGGGGCGAAGGTCTGGAAGAAGTCAACTCCCTCACGCTGACTGAAGCCCCTAGCCACGTAGCGCGCCTTGAACACCGGCGGTGCTCCAGGCGGCCGCTTCACCTTGAAGAGCCACATGCCATCGACTACGTTCGCCCTGGGAGGGGGAACTGCGTCGACGTAGGTGCCTGTGGATCTCCAAGACGCCAACTCTGAGTCCATAGCCGCTTTCCACTGAGAGGCCCACGCCCCTGACACTGCCTCGCGGTAAGTGCGAGGAGTCGGTATGTCAAGGGCGTCGGGGTCTCCCTCAGGGGAGAGCAGCATGGCACACACAGAGGGAGAAGCGGCTGCCCAGTACTCCAGCTCAGACTCTCTGTCCTCTAGGACGTCACAGCCAAGGGCAAACTCACCCCCGACGGACAGAGGACGGTAGGGAGGAGCTGGCACCACACGGGTGGCGTAGTCAAGGCGGTTGGCGGCAGCAAACTCAGCGACAGCGGCAGTGAGAGCAGAGACCGACGACGGAGGGAAACGAGAGTCGGTGACAAGAGTGGCGAGGACACGTGCGGCAACAGGAGGAACAGTGCGGTAGTAGTCAGTGATAGGAGTGGGGAGGGCTGGGAGAGAGGACGGAGGAGGAGACGGGAGAACGGACACAGGAGAAGGAGAACGATGACGAGACGTACAAAGGAGGGCAGTGTGGAGGTCAGTAACAGGGGACGAGTGACGAGCACGCGGAGGACAACGAGTGACTAAGTCGCGACGGACCGAAGGAGGAGGAGACTGGGGAGGAGGAGAAGACCAGACCGCCGGACGGTCGTCAGGAGGAGGCAACGGAGGAACAAACACAGGAGGAGACTGGGAGCGGACAGGAGGAGAGGAGGAAAAGCCAAGGGCCCGCAGGCCACTCACAGGTGGGAACAACTGCCGCTCCAGAGGAAGCTGCGGTGGCGGCTGCGGCTGCTGCTGCTGCGGTGGCGGCTGCGGCTGCGGCTGCTGCTGCGGCTGCTGCTGCTGCTGCTGCTGCTGCTGCCGCTGCTGCTCCAGAAGGTCCAGCACCCGCAGCTCCTGCCGCTCCCTCTCCAACCGCTCCTGCTCCTCACGCTCACGCCGGCGGGCAGCCTGGAGTCGTGTGTCGTGGTGGTGGGGAGGCGGAGTGGACTCCGCAGAACCAGGGTCAGACTCCTCAGACTCAGCACCCCCAGAACCAGCACCTCCAGTGCCAGGACCTCCAACTCCAGCACCCCCAGTACCAGCACCTCCAGTGCCAGGACCTCCAACTCCAGCACCCCCAGAACTAGCACCACCAGTGCCAGCACCTCCAGCTCCAGCACCCCCAGAGCTAGCGCCACCTGCGCCAGCACCTCCAGCTCCAGCACCCCCAGAGCTGGCGCCACCTGCGCCAGCACCTCCAGCTCCAGCACCCCGCGACCGAGTACCCCCAGACCTAGCACCGCCAGTGGCTGCACCTCCAGCCCCAACACCAACCGAGTCCACAGTAACCTGTCGCGGAAGTGCCGAAGGCTGCTGAGGGGACTGTGAGGAGGACTGCGGGGAGGGAGACGCTACCTGACGCGCGACCGAGGGTAGAGGGGTAACGTGGGACACACCAGACGGGGCAGGACCAGGGGGGGGCGGGGGTACCGGAGGAGAGGGAGCAGGAGGAGGAGAGGGTGCGAGGAAAAGAGGGGGAGGGGGTACAGGGAGACCTCGACAGGGGTACCGGGTGTAGTAGGACACGGACTCGTCAAACCGGACGTCACGGGAGTCTAGGAAGTGGTGGAGGGGAGGGTGGTAAAAGGACCAGTCGGTAGAGTCCACTGGGAAACCAAGGAAGACACAGGGGACGGCGCGTGCCGAGAGCTTGTCCGCGGAGGTGTCGCGAACAAGTGCAAGGCAGCCCCAGACTCGAAAGGC